CGATCAAGTTATAAATCAAAAGATTACTCCACATTCTGACAGTTCTGATTACAAAACGATGATTCGATTCTCATTTCATTCAGCTGCCACGAATGCACTACATTTCGAATTTAGAAAAAAAAAGTAATTAGATGGAATATCTCTGTGTGACGTGTGTTTCCTTCGATTGAGAATAAATAAACGATAAGCAGTCGCGATAGCGTCAGCGTGTTACGGACAGTACGTATTGATATGACGCGCGTATTTGCATCTGCACAGACGAATTAATTACCCATCTCCAGATAAAATAACCCAATATCTTCCCAGGAAAATCGCTGTCTTAAAACAACTAACAGCTAATTTCGACGAATCGCCAAGATTGCCTCGAAGCAACGGCCATTTTTTCGGCTACTGTCTCTCGCACGTTGAGCACTGTAAAATATTAAAATATGAAATTTAAATTAATACCTTGATTTAAATAACATTTTGCTACTTTTAACTATCATGTGTGTCAAAATTCAAATGTCAAATTATTTTAACACAAAACAATATTATTTTAGCTTCACTAGTTTAGTTAAATTAACGATCAATATTGAGTAGGAGCAGCAGGTGGCAACCTTTTAGAAATGGTTAAAAATTACTCAAATTGAATATAATTTGACACTACGAATTTAACAATGAGGAGGTCACCGGAACAACCTCTATATCTTCACGACATAAACTTCTGTCATTTTTCGTAACATACGGCAATGATATTCACGCGAACGCGTAGGTGGACGGTTTGAAACGTGTCAGGTGCGAGCCGCGTGACGGGAGGAAGAGGAGGAGGGCGAAGACGCACCCTTCTTTAAGAAATTCGGAGGCTTAAGATGAACCACCGTCTCTCTCTCCGATAGCGTAGGTCGGACCGACAAGACGATGATGAACCGAGTTAAAATCTCGCGTAAATCCCGATCGCGCGTGCATGTGTGCGTGATGCGCTTTACGCGCTCACACGCGAGCTCCGTGCGCGCGTAGCGCAAAGCGAGGGAGTCTCGAAGGCGGTTCTTCAGTTTCGGTTAAGCGTTCATCGAAGAGAGAATACATCTCACTCCGTCGCCCGGCTTCCACCTACGCCGTTTAACCCGTTCCGAGGCCAGGCCGGGTGTCGCGCCGAGGTTTCGGCTTCCGGCTCAAGGCTTCTGCACCCACCCACGCCCCGTCCACCGTTCCTATACGGAAAGAGTGCTCGAAAGGACTTCCGTTCTCCAAAACAATATGACCCGCCGTCACTTCGCGACCGATCTCGGCCAGCATCACGGGAAAAAGCCGACGACGGAAGTCCGCGGAGGAATTTGAGACACGGATACGCGAAATTCAGATCGGGAATGTAGAGAAAAAACAAAAATGCGAAGATTAGTCGATATCTTATTATGTGTCACGTGATGGTGCGTATGATGTAAGACGAAGTAGAAAGATAGAGAGGAGATGCGAGAGACGTGATTTATCATATCGTCGCAACTATCGTCCACGGCAATTTCTCGGCAATTTTTTTTTTTTAATAAGACCTTGGTCCATGGATATCAAGGTTCGATGTGACGTTTATAGGGGCGGCAATACCTCTCTCGCCAAAGTAATGCCGATGCAATTAGCGCGTCGATGGTAATTGCCGCTTCGTAGCAAAGGAGAGAGAGTGCAAAGTGCGGCAAACGAGTGCGAGGAATTATTTTCTCCGACCGGCGAGGGTGGTTTCGTCGTTTACTTGCACAGACGCACACGATATATCGGAAGAAGAATGCCGAGGAAAAGAGGCCTCTCCTTTTCAAAAATGCGAACAGGTAAGATGCGCGCAAATTTCGCACATGCAGATGATCCGTCATGTTTACCGCATTAAATTTGGACACGTTCTCCTTGCCAATCCGATATAACGTTTTTTTCTACAAAAATATTAAGACATTAAAAATGTAATTCATTAATATTAGAAACAGGAATTATAATGTGTCATATACAGATCTGATGCGGAAAAAATTATGCAGTTTTTTTTTTAAAGGAAAATACATTTCTTATAAACAATTTTTATTGTTGTATATTTTCTGTGTGCAATTAAATGCTTATAAAGATTTGAAAGTTTGTTTTGACACACGTGTTTGCTTACGTTGGAGAAATCCTGAAAGCTTCTTTTGAGGAATCTGAATACACACGGTAGCTTGTGTTCCGCGTCTCGTTGAGTTAATAGATTCGTGGAACAAGAGTCATCTAATATGTATCAAATTCAATTAGGCCTGTTGCGTAAAGTACCAAGAATCTACTATAATCAGTGAAAACGATACACGTAATTACTTCACAAATTGTATTCGACGTTGCAGTTGTTACTTATAAGAAACCGTTAAACCGATAAGGATTACATTAACGTTTCGTGAAATAATGCTACTTCAGACAAATTTCGGTTGGTATATTTATATATGTTTCTATTTCTATTTTATCGCAAATTTTGCTTGCATAGCGCATTACTAATGTTCAAATGTTTTAGCTTATGTTAGATAAGAAATAGAGTGACTACGATATTCTAGGAATAAATGAAGCAATTTAATGACGAATCGGTATAATCATATCTGTGTATGACCTAGAAATATTTATTTCTGCTCAATATTCTATAAGAATTTAGAAAATTTGGAGAATTTATAAAATTAAATAATAAATTAAAATAACGTTTTATGTAAATTTATAACTTGCGACGAGTCTCGTAAATATTAATGTTCAAAAATTGTACGATTAGCAATTAACAATATGGGGCAATTATATTTATTTGCGATAAAGCATCTTACGTTACCTATTAACATATAATCCTATCTACGTCACAGTGCTAATTTAAATGTATTGTGTTTTTATATACGTACTTTGTATGTATTACGCTATATTATATTTTTTTGTGTAAATATATACTTATTGAATATATTGAATATATTATATGAAAAAAACATAAAGAAACTAGGGAAACATTTATCTACTATTTATCTACCATTTGCTTTTTTATCTTGCTTGAACTAAATTTATCTCTTTCCTTCGACAAATGTTCCTCTGGGAAGAAATTAGAAACCAACCCTGTTTTTGCCCTTTGCTGTTATCTTTAATATCGGGCGCACTTTCGACCTTTCGATAAGTCCGATTCGAGATAAAAACCACACTTGTTGCATTCACAGTGTTAAAGATAATATCGCACTAATCGACAAATTTTTAGAATTACATTACATATGTAATGCCGCAAGAAGAAGATAAACATTTTCTATTTTTATGAACTTGGTATTAAATCATCGCAAACACACATACACATACACAGTAAAGATTGGGAGTGTGTAATAACGAATGTAAATAGAGACAAAACTTGAATCTTTATTTAATTCAAAGTTCGCGTTTCAACGGAATTTTGCCTTAATTATAAAACAGACTCATGCAATTACCAAGATAAGATTATGAACAAATGTAGAAAATGAGAAGCTTTCGCGATTTCTCCTCGATATTTCTCCATAGGAAGTTTAAAGTTAAATAAGGAATCTGTCGTTTCATATACTGATTGCAGATTCCATTCTGTATATATATTTATGTGTATCTATATATTGTTTGACGAGCGCCCCACGATATATTCACCAATCTCTTTCGATCCCTTCACGAATCGCACGTTTAGGCAGGATGAGGCGTCCGCACGTATAATGCCTCTATTGTAGTCTGTACGCCTTAAAGCTTGGATTTGTGCAAATAAACGCGTGCCTCACCGCACGTGCATTGAAATTTCCAAATTTACCATTAACCATAACATTTAAAAGACAATATATAGATTTCAATTAGGATCGAATGTCATTACATTCTGTTACTGTTTCTATTGAGACAACAGCACCCGTCAGCTTGGCTACTATAGCTGTTGCTACAGCGAAGTATCTTAACATATAGTCGAGAATTCGAATTAAGAATCTACACGTCTGAATTTTAATGACAGTACTCCTTGCAATTTCAGAGCAGTTATTTCTTAAGCCAAATTTCGGGCATCGACAACTCTATAAACAGTATAAACCAATTATAAAATAAAACACCTTTTTGCACAAAGAGCTTCTAGAGTACAACCGAAAACAACTTATTGCAATTCGTACATAAAATTTACATAAATCTCCTTTTCTCACAAATTTTAATTCAAGGCTCATTTATCGAGACACTTTAAAATAAATAGCAGAAAAGCAACTATAATACTGGCTTTCCTTAAAAGTTTTCTTCAATAATGAAGACCAAATATTTATCGGAGAGCGTCATTAAGATTAGTTAATTGGTAAACAAATTAATCGAGTCGAATTCTTACAAAACTGACGGAGTTATGCGGATAATTTGGCATTATATCATAATTACTGGACGCAAGGCGTAAACTAAAATAATTCTCTGCGCGAGCTTTGCCACGCGATACTCGTGCTATCGAGGGTCAGCCGGCGGAGCCAATAGTGGTTTTCTATGCCGCGTATACGATGGCAAAGAGCAGAGGTCAGTAATAATGTGGCGTACATGCGAAAATCACGATGTCTGCGGCGGCATAATTGATTGTGCTGGACGGTATCGAAGCGAGTATTAATCCTCGATAAATTGCAAAACTCGTCCGCGGGATCCTCCGGGAGGCAACGCGGCGGCGGGCCCTTCTCTCGAGAGATGGTCAAACGAGATGGTCGTTCGTCTCGAACGCGGTCGCATCGCGCTTTCGCGATGAAGGAGAGATCCGTCTTCTCCCTCCTTGCATCTTCGTCCCAAGGCTGACGCGACGAATCGTTAACTCGTTTACGTTACATCTTACGTTATACTTCGAATAACGAACCGTGCCGTGCGCGGCGGCGTCGTCGTCGAAAGCACGGCGAGATCGATCTCGCGCCGAGAAACGGTCGATCTCGTAAATGCGGGAAATCTCGTAATGGAGATACTTCGGCGCGGGCACGGAATACGGGGCGATAATAGGTACACATAGCGAGACTCGTTGTCGGGGAGCGCTGACCGCAGAGATAACGCTTTGACCCGTTACAAGCTCCAAGAGCTACCAAATGAATGCCTTCACTGTCTCTATCTTCCTGTGCCCAATCCAAATATGCGGCCCTTTTTCTTCCCTGGCCGCCCTTTACGGGCCGTTTGCGACGATCCCGCGGATCTGCGACGGCGATCTCTTTTGCTTCCCGGCACGACCGCCGCCGCGGCGACGGCAACGGTCCATCCACCACGTTCCCCGTAGGAACGTTTGTTCCTATACATTAAATTACATTTTAAAATATAATAATATATCTTCCATCTTTTTATACGTTTTATCTCAATGCGAGCCATTCGAAGCTGGAGGCTTCGACGCAAATATCGAATTTTTATCTAAAAACGGATTTTCTGTTGAAATGTTCATTTATAGTCATTTCGTTAAAGAAAGAGACTGTAGAGATACTCAATTCTGTTAATAATTGGCTTAATACACAATTTTTTGCTTCAAGAGCAATGAGATATTATCTTCCCAACGTAGTTAAATTATTTTCCAATTTTAATTACACGGAAAAAAATGATGTATTAGGATCTAATTGGTAATAATCTTGTTAATTCAACAACAGTATATTAAAACAAGAGCATGACGTATTGAATTAACAAGATTATTTTCAATTAGATTAATGCTATTAATACAATATCATTTTTTCCGTGTACATTTTACACGAACAAAGCGAAAGTAATAAAACCTGTTACGTTAAACTTTATTACTAATAAATAAATGCTACTAATAAACCAAGCTTCTTTTTAGAAGAGTCATTACTGTTAAACTCGTAGTGTCAAATTATATTCAATTCGAGTTATTTTTAATCATTCCTATAGGTCGCCACTGCTTCTATTCAACATGTCGTTAATTTAACTAAACCATTGAAGCTAAAATTAGTGTTTTGAGTTAAAATAATAAATTTTGACATACACGGCAGTTCAAAATAACAAAATGTTGTTTAACTCATTTAAATTTCATCCTTTAATATTTTATAATATAGCTTCAGGCTTCTGAAAATACAGATCCGCCACTGTGGCACTGAGGGAGAGCATAAGATCTAAAGAACAAATGGTCTTCTTATTGCAGATTTATCAGTGACGGCTTCCAATCAACATCAGCCAGATGTAATAGTGCAATTGCCCCCGGACTACGGGGGCTCCGAGATCAAAGCGTGCAAGGATCATCCGCAGATTTGCGGAAAAGAAGCGGCCTGTTATCCCTTCCCGAATAACACGTCGAAATGCGTGTGTCCTCACGACCTGTCGCTGCCAACATCGGATTTACGATGTCCGAATCGTCTAATCGGTAAGGCTACTCGACTACTCTTTTATAAGCAGAAGCTTTACTACAGTAGATGAGCAATTTTAGATAAATATAAAAATAGCTCGCCACAGTGGTTAGCGATTGAAAAGTCGAGATTGACTTAGAGATGATAATTAATTAATGGAAATCTAATCGGTTGCAAAAACTATTGCGATAAAGATAAAATCAGCATTTACAATTAATATAATAATGTAATAGGATAATAATTTTTTAGTTTCTCTAACGCCTCGTCCTATACACAACATAATGATACCTCCAAGCGGGAACAACAGCACAAATAGCACGAACGCGCTTCCGGAAGCTGAGCAGGTATATTTACTGCTTGTCAGAAGTTTTACATAAATTTCGATACCTAGAATAAGTGCAATTGTTTACGAGCTACTTACAACCGTAATGAATTATTTAAAATCGACGCGACAGGTATTAGAGGGATTGAAATACAAGGTACCTGAAATCATAGGAGTAGCTGTTGCTTTCGTCGCGGTAATTGTACTCTTACTAAGCGTCGTGTACGGCGTGAGAAGACGGAGTTACAGCATCAAGTCGCAAAGAAGTCCTCTAGATGTAAGTTGCCGTATCCTTCGTCGAAACGTGTTCATCCTGAAATGCATAAACAGTGCTGTACACATTTGCATTGTATTTTTCATGTGTTCTTCTGGGAAAATTTTGCTTCTTTCTAAACAATTTATGCTATACTTTTAAACTCTGTATATTTTAAAAGTAAATTTATCTCGAACTTATTTTTCTATTATCTTAGGGGGAGAATTCTTTCAATAATTGCAAATTTTTACTTATTTGAAATAATTATCTTGTTCGTCACATTTTATCAGGGAACGCCAATAAACCTGAAGAAGGGACTATTATTAGCGCATAAGTACACGTCTAATCCTCAATATTTCACCTGCACGTCTCCGGGAGTTCCGATAATACAACGTGAAAATCTTATATTCCTGCACGACATCGGCGAAGGATGTTTCGGAAAGGTTTACAAAGGTAAAATTATATTTTGTATTGATAAAAATGAAATTAATTAAGGGACAGTTTATGGATTCTTTTCTCCCGAAGTCAAAATTAGCAAGCTACAATACTACGAAATAAATTTCTCATACTTTTTTAATTTCCATTTTATATTACAACGTTAGATCTTTCAAAAATTTTACAGGCGAGTGGTACAACGGAGATACGAAGGAAATTGTCGCTATAAAAGTCCTGAAGGACACCGCCACGCCCGAAACCGAGCAGGACTTTATGCGCGAAGTGGACATCATGTCCACGTTCAGCCACGCGAACATTCTATCCCTGAAGGGCATGGTACTACGAGACGCGACGAACAATCCGTGGATGGTGTTCGAGTATATGCCGTACGGTGACCTCGCCGAGGTCCTACGGGCGAACTCCTTGCAGTTCAGATCGTCGAAATCTGGACTGCAAGCATTAACGAAGGTATCGCGTATCACAGCCGATAATTAGTTAGGAAAATTTTGCGATAACGTTTCAGAATATATATGCGGTGAAGTTTCGCGTTCAATCGTGAGTTGTCATATAAATTCTCGTGAATTGTGATTCATTGCATGTGCGCGCGCGAGTTTGCGTGACATTAAGTTAGCGTTTCTCCTATCCGAAACGCGGCATCGCGTCTTTATATTATCACTCATGTAACGTTATTCTAGCGAAATTTTTTATCGGTAGAAACAACTCGAGAATGACGTGTTATTTGTTTATAGGACTCATTATACTGGATCTCGATTCAAATTGCGGCCGGCATGACGTATCTGTCGGCGCAAAGATTCGTGCATCGTGACCTAGCGTGTCGAAACTGTCTGGTGGGCTCAGGCTTAGCGGTGAAAATCGCTGATTTCGGCATGTCGCGAGATATTTACACTTGCGACTATTACAAGGTGAATATTTCTTTAAATAAATTAGTATCCATAGTACGCGAAGACATGAGACATTTTGAGAAGAGATTTCGTATATATATAATTCACTCTCTTCTCAGTTTCTTTGACATGGATGTTATTAATAGTGATGGGATTAAATATCTTACAAATAGATTCGAATCTATTGGCGTATAGTTTCAAACTCTCTATGATTAATTTGAAAAATAAAAGCAATATTTCAAGTACATTCGAACCTGGACGAAATGGATTCAAACCTTCTATCAGTACCTCGAAAAACAAGAGTATTTTATTTCTAATAGTAAGTCGACTCGGACCTGGATCAAATGTTCAAATATTTTCTGAGTACTTTACTAGAAATTTAATGTGTATATACTTATACACACAAATCTCTCTCTCTCTCTCTCTCTCTCTCTCTCTCTCTCTCTCTCTTCATTACACTTTTACATAATAATTATATTTAACGTGACTTCTTCAGATTGGAGGATCGCGTCTGTTGCCAGTACGATGGATGTCACCGGAAAGCGTGGTGTACGGACGATTTACCTTAGAGACCGATGTATGGAGTTTCGGCGTTGTCCTTTGGGAAGTTTACTCATTCGGAAAGCAGCCGTATTACGGATTCAGTAACGAGGAGGTCAGACGTGCAAGCATACGCCAATATTTCTCTCTTTTTATCAGTTCGCCCGGAGACTTCAAACGTGTTTCTTCGACGATTGTTCCAGGTCGTGAAACTCATACTTCAAGGAACGATGCTTGTCCCGCCGGACGAGTGCCCGCCCATCGTTTGCCAAATAATGCACGATTGTTGGAAACTCGAGCCGCGGGAACGAATCAAGTTTCCCGACATTCTGGAGAGGCTGGAAAAGACGCAGGCCGAGCTGACCCGGCAAGGGACGCTGCCCAGACCGCCGCAAGGCCCGGTGCTGCTGCGCACCCCGGACGTTTTGGATCCGGACGGCTATTTGCTTCCGGCACCTGCGATCCCTCGCGAGTATCTGCAGGCTCTTCCAGTTCTGTCTGACTGATACATTCGTAACAGTGAAAGAACTTTTAAATTTCAACCTCGAAAAGTTGCTCCGAGCGCGATATGCGTGAGGGATAAAACGAAGAAGTGTGAAGCCTATCGAACTCCTGTGAAGTGACAATTAAAATCAGTAATATTCTGTTTGTGAAGTGCACAGCTTACTCTATTACTGTCTATACCACAAAGCTGAGTTAAAAGTATAAAGCACATAGTCCTCATCATTATTATTTGGCGGAATAATAAAAGCATAGCATCACTATGTCCAGCGTCTATTATATAATAAATATATAAATAGACTAAATTTTTAGATCCTTCGACAAGTTTGAAATCGATTTTTACAGTTTCTCAAATTTCACAAACATATATTTATAATTAAATATGATTAAAATTCTTTATTGAATTTTTTAGTAAATTTTTTTACTTGATTTTTCTACAGGCATTTTTGCTAAGATTAATTTCTAATTAATCGAAAAATTTTTACAGTAACTCGACTCATCCTGAGACCTATGCGGACAAAATTTTTACAATAAAAAATGTAGGTCATAATCCATCCAACATCTACGATGTTACATTACAATTCAATCAAAATATTAAACTAATGTGTAAATTGATTTTACACTCTTTATTTATCGGCTAAGTAACTGGTTAATCGTTAACAAAGTGAAAGCCCTAATCCATGGTACAAATAAATAATTATAGCACGTATTCCCGCCGCGTAATAATCATCATTAAATCATTAAAAAATATAAATTATGTGTTATACATAAGGAATGTATACGAAAGCTTGAAATATCAATGCTTTCAAATGCACGTCCACAAGATAGTATTAATGTCGATCATTTTTACGATAGAACTATTTTATTAATGTTTCTAAAGCGTATCAATATTAAAGATAATAAATAAGTAGAATAAAGTGATAATAAAAAGTAACCGTTAAGATCAAACTAATGAAATCATATATTGCGCTTATTGAGCACAACAATATATGTAAAATTTTTTATTATTTGGGATTTTATATATCGATATATCTCCTTTTGCGAAATCTATAAAGTAGTCACTAAGAAATGTAAATAGAAAGTATTCTCGATAGTTTTACGTAAAAGTTTATTTCTAGTGTATGATAATTATAAATAGTAATAGTATTGTAAAAATGATTTTTATTAAAAAAGAAGCTTATTATCGCGACAAATTAATGAATTTAATTTTTTTTTCTTTCCTTTCTTCGCTCGACTCAAAATTCGTATAAAAATTGACACTTCGTGCACAACGTATTAAATACTTTTTTCAATATACATATTCAAAAAAATTACAATAAGCCCGAGTGGATTTCTATCCACAGAACGATAAAGAAACGTAGAAAACTATCATAGGATACGGTTCGAGACCAGGAAAAAAATCGCAGATTTGAACGTAAAAAGATGAATCCTTCGATACGCACCCGTTTCGTGGAACTGGTAACTACGTTTACGCGAGCGTTACTTCTGTAGTAACTTACGATAATTCACTCGTTTACGCGAAGGAATTATCGTAAGTTACTACAGGAGTAACGCTCGCGCAAACGTAGTATGGGAGCCTTCTTCTTCTTGATGGTCGTCGAGCAGGCTGCTCCAGGACTCCAGTCTGCTCAAATATAGGCCAGGCTGGCCAGGGCGAAGCCGGCGAAGTAGTAAGTATGGGAGCCGCTTGGATTGTTGTTGCCGTGATACGACGGTAATTTGTTTCGAAGGTGGCTCCGGGGGGAAGGGGGGAGGAACGAGTCTCAGGAGTCGACAAAACACAAAACCCGGACGGGACGCGGAACGTTCGAAACGCGCCGTTGACGATTCGCGCGCGCGGCGGCGACGGGCGGCCGTTCGATCCCAGATCCCGCAGGGCCCCGATTTTTCCCGATTTTTCCCCAACGATGACCGCCGCGAGGATGTACGAGGACTGCGTGCTGCAGTCGATGCGATTCCCGCAGAAGCTCTGGCGGATAGTGAACGAATGCGAGACCGGGGCGATCCGGTGGGGCGCGAACGGCAACACGATACTGCTCGATTACAATAGATTCCAAGCGGAGTACCTGGACGCGCGCCGGCCGATCTTCAAGACGAGCAACATCACGAGCTTCATCAGGCAGCTGAACCTCTACGGCTTTCGCAAGGTCACCTGCCATGGCCGCGACCCGGTATGCACCTCCTGCAACCCGCACGTGCACGAGTTCCTGCATGAAAACTTCCGCGCCGACCGGATGGACCTGCTGGCCGAGGTGTGCCGGAAGTCCGGCGGCGGCAAGGGCCGATGCACGCAGCACGAAAAAGAGGCGAAAGGTGCGGAGGAGAATTCGCGACCGGAGGAGAAATCGCGTTCGGAAGAGAATCACCTGTCTCGCTTAAAACTATGCCAGGTATATTCGTTGAATATGAGTTATACGCAGAACACCCTTTTTTTTCGTTGTATAGTGTGAGAAAAAAAAATTTATACGAAAATTGGATTGTTATTAATATTTATTAACTTATTGCTTAATATGTAACAATGGATATTAATTGCTTAATTATTTCAAAATATTTTACGACTTCTTGGCAATAATACGGCAATAATACTTATATTTACGTTATAATTCCCAATAGTTGGCTTTGACTAAAACTTTGGAACAAATTATCCAAGAATATCGACGGGAACACGAGGAGGAAAAAAAACTGATCACAACAAAGAATAATGCTTTAAAACGGATAAGAAACGCTCAAGAAGATACAGGTATAATAAATATTGAAATTGACCTTGATTATCTATACCAGAATATATTAAATTGTTAAAAAAATTTGCGTTATTTTTCTCATCAATATTGCTAATAGTAGTAACGCTTAAATTATTGCGACAAATTAGTAAAAGTATATCTATGTTTGATGAAATTAAGAAGAGAGAAATCTCAATAAATACATAGAGATCAATTAAAATCAATTGCATTTCGTTCCATCAGAATCTGGATATAATTTGAGTTTTTAATAATTATTTTGTATGTCAAAATTTTGCCATGTATATACAATATACTTTGATATATTTAACAAATATTATTAATTTTATTAGTGTCAAACTTTCTTTATTGAGGTAAACTTCGTGAAAAATGATTTTGATAATGTCAACGATGTTTATACGTGTCAAATATTATATGTGATGTTAAATATTTTGTATGATGTTTTAAATGTCTTAAAATATTAATAATTGTGTATGTTTCAGTTCCTGTTTTGTACGAGATTGAATTCAGCAATGTTCCGAATCGGAAACTTACCATAGAACGGAATATAAAATATTCGCCGTTTGTTCCTATAAAGACAGATACATCGTCCGAACGCAAAATGATCTCTTTACCTTGGCGCAGTGCTACGATGGATAAACGCAGCTCGCACTTGAACGTTCAAAACACTCAGTGAAATTAGCCTGGAACTGATCTCGATTTTCTTTTAAACAGTATTTATATTAAAATGTAAAATTACAATGATATTATATCTGTTAAATTATACATTACGTTTAATTATTTAATATAATGATTAGTCTACTGACAAATAAAATCCACATTGTAATCGTAGGATCTCTACAGTGTACATATAGTAAAAAATATCGGTGTTAAAAATTAAAGTTTAAATAAAAGATGTTTATTTTATAATGGAAAAATGAGGTGAGCAATTTTTTAACCAAAACATTTTGAAACGTAATTTTTATTAAATAATTTATTTTTCAAGGAATTTGTAAAAATATTAAAATGATTATCAATTTTTACTTGTATTAGGTTCGGACTCCTGATTACTCCTTCGTTTAGCTTGGTCCATTTGATGTCTCTCTAAGAAATTTCTAAATGACACTTCATCTTTCTTTTCTTCAACTTCATTTTCCTCGAAATTGTTTTCCGTTCCGTCTTCGTCTTCGCTTGATTCATTACATGCGTGTTTCAGATAGATTTCCGAAGTGTCACGACCATCATTAACCGTTGTCACAAAAGCTACAGCTTCTCCAATTGTTTTTTTACTAGCCTTTTCTAATTGTTCCTTCTCTGTCTTGTTTCGTTGAGCTTCCCTCTCTATTTTAAGTTTTTCCCAATCTTTTTTGTAACTTCTGTAAAAATAAAACACTTGTATCATAAATTATAATAAATATACGGGGGTGACATGTGACTCTGTGTAAGAGCGGTTGATTCGTAGTTGACTAGTTTTTTAGGTTCAATTTCGGCCACCCTACGTACGTTTTGGTTTTGTAAGATAATTGGAAAATAAAGGTTGAGTGAAGGAGTATGAAGGAGGTGACACAGTAATAACTCATTTTAGGAACCCATAATTCAATAAGATATATTGTATAAATGTGATTTACTGTCATTGATATAGCAATTTGTAGATTTTCAAAATATATGGCAATGCTTACGTTTCATATTCCTTTACGGCAGCTTCAGCCAGTTTCAGAAATTCATCAATTCCAGCACCCGTTACTGCAGAAACGCCACAGCATTGCAAATGATTATAAAACTCGTCTAGTGCAAGTGACATGCTGCGTGTAAGATTATTGATATAACCGCTTTCCTTGTCGAGTGCTTCTTGGAAAGCTTCGAAATCGTGCATCCATTCGACTGCATAACTATGCTCAACAATATCGATCTGAAATACATTAGTGATGCATCAAGTGATTGTATCTAAATTGTAAAAACATACATGATACAGTTATAAAGAGAATTAATTACCTTATTCATGACCACGATAAAAGGCAATTTGGTTTTATAAAGTATAGAGCAAGCGTATAACATGTTGGACATAAATGTAACAGGATTAACACTTCTCACGGTGTCTACCACATACACAACGATGGTTGGAAACTGAGATGCTAATGCTTCTGTTATAATCGAGCCGCTAGCCGACCATGTGAAAACCTCAATTTGTCCTGGTGTGTCAAAAATTACATAATTGTGCTCTTTACTGGCTTTGTTAATAAGTTCGATAACCTGATGAAACTTTGTGGTAAAAAGATTCAAACTCGTAACTATACCACCATTTGGGCCCAAGTTATATTGTTTCATCACTTCTTTATAATTTACAGTGTCCCTTATATCTGAAAGGAAATATAGCTCCGTTTAAAGCAAATGATAACAATAATGATGTTTATCATAATGCATACTTATATTTTACACCGCATAGTAAGTTATTGTGTATAAATTATATTAATTAAGTTTATTTTACCTATATTAGCAGGATACGGAACTTCTTTACAAGCAGGATCTAAATTAACGATGTATGGCTTTCCTATGTTATACAACCTAGAAACAAGTCCAGAGACAAATGAAGTTTTTCCAGCACCAGCCATTCCGAGTACGATGATACATGGTATCTTTCTTTCCTCTGCAGATTGGTCTTCCATTCTAGATGTGGTGTCTGAAGCACCACTTGCTGTTTCCGCAGCATCTGAATTACTCTTGAACTCTGCCATTTATAAATCTGTAAATTTTATATTTCACATTACACCTTTGTTACAAACAAAAAAAGGGTAATTATTTAGAATACGGGCTGCACCTCGAATATCAATAAAATATTATGCTCATTCGACGCGTTTTGACACGAAACCTCTGTCGGGTTAGCTTTGCGAGAAGATAAAAACACGTGTGTTCAGAGAGATTGATTTATAGACTTCTATAGCTGATCAATAAATTATTTTACGTTTTTTAGAATGCTTTAAAAGTCAGATTAATTAACCTGTGTCTATACCAATCCCACCAATACTGTAAATTACATATATTAATTATTTTTAATGCAGGAAGTGTGGCACAATGCAGAAAACAAGCTGAACAGCAGGAAATGGAACAAAGTCCCTAAACGCAGTGACATCACTGACACTGACGTCGCCAGACCACCGACCACGCGCGGCTGGAAGCACGTGCAAAGTGCAAAGGAGATTTGTGTTTATAAATATATCATTTAGCATTTATGTATTAATAATTTGATAAAGTAAAGATTTCAGGTAAGAGAAACGAGATTTCTATAATAATAACGAGATAATGTATAAATTTTCGTTTGCTGTTTAAAAATAAAAAAATGAGAGGTTATAAACGTCTTAATCCTCTCTTATTTCTCACTCATGTTCATTTATATTTTACAATCACACACTCTACAATATTTTTTCCAGATTACTCGAGTCAGTAAAAGTTCACTTATCGACAAAATGAAGGTGAAGAAAGTAAGACAGAAGTCTCTTAACTCACCAAGAGGAAAGAGAGTCGCCAAGAGAAAGAAAGAAGATTTGAGCAAACTAACCACAGAAGAGTTCTTTGGACAAAATTTTGAAACAGATAGCGATGCATGCGATGATGGTGAAGAGGATAAAAACATAGGTATGATCTAAGAAAAAAACATTCATACAAATTCCTTTCATATTTTAAATTATTACTTTACTTCTTATTGTCTTTTTACATAGACGACGAAGATAATGAACAGATGGATAGTGAAAACAGTGAAGATGATGAGCAGATAGATAGTGATAGCAGTGAAGGTGACTTGGATCCTGCAGAGCACAAAAAGTCATTGATGAGATTGAAAGACACCGATCCTGAGTTTTATAAATATCTGAAAGAAAATGACAAAAATCTTCTGGACTTTAGAGTGTCGGACGATGAAGACGATGACAATTCTTCAATAAACGATGATAGACATGTTCCCAATGAAAATTTAGAGGTATATATTCTTTACAAACGTAATTTTAACTTATTTTGTATTTATTTTCAAGCAATATTATTTGCAGGTTGCTAGCGACGAGAGTGATTTTGAGCCAGAAGAGGCTGAAGGCGATTCTAAAAAGAAGATCACTTTAAAATTACTGAAAACTTGGCAACAAAACATACAAACGGATAAGTAAGTTATCACTTGTTTTTTGTTGAGTCAATAGTAGAATATACATACAACTGCATTATGCTTTATTTGTAGATCGATAATCACTATTAAGTGTGCTGTAGACGCTTTCCATGCAGCCTTAGATAGCGTCGCAGCATTACCTGATACGACCACGGAATATAAAGTAGATGGAAGTGCAGGTAAGTTTCAACGTCTGTTATTAAGCTACTTGCTATTTCTTAATTAATTTTATTAAAATTTTATAAAAAATTTTAGCATTTAATGGTGTAATGCAACTATGCATAATGTATCTGCCTGATGCATTTAAACGCTTTTTAAAGTTGGATCCGGAATCACAGGAAGTACATAAATCTAAAAGATTCGGAAAAATACGAGTAATTTTAAAATTGTACTTGTCTGATTTAATCAAAGTACGTATTTGTTAAATTTTCAATTATCTCGTTTAACTTAAATAACAAACATATGATGTTAATAAATATTATTTTTACAGTTATTACAAAGTGTAGCATCATCTAGTATTCTTACAGTGCTTTTGAAGCACTTACGACAAATGCTGCCTTACACTCGCTCATTCTCGTCTTTAACGAAACCATTGTTAAGAATTTTGATAAAATTTTGGTCGACTGCAGAAGAGACTGTTCGGGTTACAGCTTTCTTAAATATATTACATATTGCAACTAAGAAAGAGTCTGTGTTAGAGAAGCTGTTAAAGGTGAGATCCACGTGTTATAGTCAAAGTAATATATGCCGACTGTTTGCAATCACGTCTGTGTTATTAAAAATTTCTTTCTTTCAGACCATGTATGTGAAATATGTTCAGAATACAAAGTTTGTTTCACCTAATACGTTACCAGGAATCAATTTTATGAAACATTCTTTGATTGAAATTTATCTGCTTGACCATGATGTTTCGTACAATCATGCTTTTCTATATATCAGGCAATTAGCGATTAATTTAAGAAACGCTATAACATTAAAGAAAAAGGTAATTTTTAAAACAGCAATTGTACCTTTTATATAACATCCCGTTATAACATAAATTTTAATCTTTTTCTTTTCTTTTTCAGGAAAACTTTCAGGCTGTATATAACTGGCAGTATATAAACTCTTTACGGTTTTGGACGGAATTAATAACTAAATCAAAGGATAAGTCGATGTTACGTTCGTTGTTATATCCATTAGTCCAGGTATCAACTTAAACAAAAAAAATAATATAAATAATATAACAGTTTAATAGAAAACTATATTAAATTATTTGTTAACAGATTATTGTTGGAACAATAAAAGTCATTCCAACGGCACAATATTATCCATTACGATTCCACTGTATAGAAATGTTACTAGCCATTTCTAAGGAAACAGGAACATTTATACCTATTTTGCCATTTCTTCTCGAGGTATTATTCTCAATTTTCAAACAACATTTATATTTGTACAATATGTAAATATTGTATGTTAATATTTTTTTTAGATATTGGACACTTACGATTTTAATAAGAGGCATAAAGCAGTTACAATGAAACCTATACCACTTATTTGCATATTGAGGATGTCAAAATCGCAATTGGCGGAGAATGGTTTCAAAGATAGTATTATCGAAACCGTTTATCAATTCATTTTGGAAAATGCAGCGAACGAAAGTCATAAAATATATTTCCCAGATGTGTACATACCTTGTATAGTACAGGTACTTAAAAAAAAAATAGAAACTGTTGAAGATGTTAATTTTTATTACATATATTATAATTATTAAATTAACGTGTGTTTCATCTTGCAGTTAAAGGCGTTTCTGAAGAAATGTCATGTGGCAGCTTACTGCAAGAAGATAAAACAGCTTTTAAATATGATTGAGGAAAATAGAAAATACATTGAAACTGAGCGTACTAAAATAACGGTAGATCTGAAGAACACGGCAGAGATTACAAATTGGGAAAACAGAATGAAGACGGACGGTACAGAAATAGCCAAATTCTATGCTTCCTGGATTAAGATTCACAAATCTCAGGTGCTTAAGCTTCTTACAAAGAACGAAGAAGAAATCAATGTACCGGTGAGGTTACCCAAGAAACAGAAATTAGATGAGCGAGATGCAGAAGATAGCGAAGAAGAGAGCGAGCTTGAATTTCGATTAAAGGGAACGGAATCCGAAACAGAAAGGAAAAAGTCATTGAATAAGGCGAAAAAGCGCAAGAAAAACAAAGAGAAAAAGACAACCAACAATATCGAGGATGAAGATTTGCCAAGAGAAGACACAGATATTGTACAAGATATAAATAGCGATGATTGGGGCTAAAATGTGTAAGATAAAAAATTAATGACCATGTATAAGATGAATAATACATGTATTTTATATATGTTCTGAAATGTATTTCAATAAATCTTCCATTATCCTTATATTCCATTACTAATTATTTTTACTTATAATTAATTTCTAATTATAATATGTACTTTGAGAGTTATATACATAGTAATTATTGATTTGATAATAAAACATGTTCAATAAAACATGTTCGCGCCACCGTTGGAGTATTAAATATTTATTTCTCCGTCATTGGGATATAAAAAAATTTTTTTTCCTTATTAAGGATGTGATATTTTATTATTCTGTCATTGTGGTATGAAATTATTTTCGCGCCATTGTTTGAATTTTTTTTGCACCTTTGCCGACGTGATAGATTTTTTTCACAGCGACGCAGTGCCAGCGCGGTCAGCCGCCAGCGGCGCCAGCCGCCAGCGTGATCATTTTTTGATAGGTTAGGTTTATGTATTTATGGTTGCTGCAGATACAATTACAAACTTTTTATTACTTTCGTTTACTTTCTAATTTATTATACATTGTCGCAGATTCTTGATAAATAATCCGAATTCAATTCAGATGTAATGCAAGTCTGAGTTCAGTACTAATTTGCATTTTATTCGGCGAAGTATACAAGGCATTGTTTTGCAGGTTAAAATGACAGGAATCAAGTTTCGGAGTCTATGAAGTATAAAAGAACAATTTTAAGGATTGACGACTTAGTATCGAACGCATTCATAACATAATTCGCTTGAGATTTACACATTCGTGATATTGTAGAAAAAATATACAAAAATGACATCCATTATAAAGCTTCACGCTGTCTCCGGAGCGATGGATGAATCCCCACCTTGCTACATATTGCAAGTGGACGAACTGAGGATATTATTAGATTGTGGATGGGATGAAAATTTTGACCAGGACTTCATAAAAGAATTAAAGAGGTATCATCACTTATGAAGTAACTTATTGTAACAAGTTATACTTTAATCTTCGTATATTTACTTCTTTTATGGCTCACGTTTCCAGACATGTGCATCAGATAGATGCGGTATTGCTTTCATATCCAGATCCATTGCATTTAGGTGCATTACCGTATCTGGTAGGTAAATGTGGCTTGAATTGTCCCATATACGCTACCATACCCGTCTACAAAATGGGCCAAATGTTTATGTACGATATATATCAGGTATGTTCCTTCAATATAAAAAAGTATTAATTTTAAATCAATACTGGTATTTAACCGGTTATATTGGTTTCAGTCCCGACATAACATGGAAGACTTTGATCTATTTACTCTAGACGACGTTGATGCCGCATTTGATAAAATTGTTCAGCTAAAATACAACCAAAGTATATCGATGAAAGGTAAAGGCTATGGTGTTACATTGACGCCCTTGCCGGCAGGACACATGATTGGTGGGACAATTTGGAAGATCGTGAAAGTTGGAGAAGAGGATATAATATACGCCGTAGATTTTAATCACAAAAAGGAGCGCCACTTGAACGGTTGTGAATTGGAAAGATTGCAAAGGCCGTCACTATTGATAACCGATGCTTTCAATGCCACGTATCAACAAGCCAGACGAAGAACAAGGGATGAAAAGTTGATGAGTAAATTTCGTATTCTTCATCAAAATCATAAACTAAAATAGATAAAGATAAATGTGGAAGACACGCCTATAGATATCTTTTATTTGTTATTTTTGTGGTTTAGCTAATATCTTGCAAACATTGCGAGGCGGTGGAAATGTGTTGGTCAGTGTAGACACGGCTGGTCGTGTACTGGAGCTGGCACACATGTTGGATCAGCTGTGGCGTAATAAGGAATCCGGATTACTTGCCTATTCATTAGCTCTTCTTAATAACGTGAGCTACAACGTTGTAGAATTCGCAAAATCGCAAATTGAATGGATGAGTGATAAATTAATGAGAAGCTTTGAAGGCGCACGCAACAATCCATTTCAATTTAAACATTTGCAACTTTGTCACAGTATGGCTGAATTGAATCAAGTCGCAAGTCCAAAGGTAAGTAAAAAGATTAAAAGTATCTGTAGTCCTCTTAGATCATTTAATTCGAAGATTAATTTCAAATTGTTATTTAGGTGGTTCTTGCAAGCACTCCCGATATGGAATGCGGATTTTCCCGAGAATTATTTCTTCAATGGTGTTCTAATCCACAAAACAGTATTATATTAACGAGTAGGACGTCTCCTGGTACACTTGCCAGAGACTTGGTAGAGAAAGGAGGTAATCGAAACATTACGTTAGAAGTGAGGAGACGAGTGAAACTCGAAGGTATTGAACTGGAAGAATATCAGAAAAGAGAAAAGCTGAAGCAGGAGCAGATGAAACAGGAGCAGATGTAAATATCCATCTATCATTAAATTATAATTTATGTTTTACTAATTATGCTTGTAATGCGTCTTGTTAGGGAAACTGCAGACGTGAGTTCCGAGTCGGAAGACGAAATAGAAGTTGGTACTGGCAGAGGAAAGCACGATTTACTGGTGAAGCAAGAAACTAAGCCTGGCTTTTTTAAACAAAGCAAGAAGCAACATCCTATGTTTCCATTTGTGGAGGAAAAGATTAAAATAGACGAATACGGAGAAATCATAAAGTAAGGATATTTATATATCTCACAAAGTATACCTCAACAAAACAAAAACATATAATGAAAGCCTAGTTCTAACATAAAGAAAATATACATTTAATCTTTTTTGAAAATCTGTATATCTCTATGCAAAACGTTAAAGAAATATTAGAAATACGCTAAAACAATTATTTACACTTATTTATATTTTAACAGTAATTAATAACTCGAAGCTTGTTTAGCCGTTTATTTTTATGAATATGTACTTTATTATATGCATATGTAAGTATAAATTTGTATTCTTTTATTATTGCAGACCGGAAGATTATAAAATAGCAGAGACTGTGCCCGAAGTGGAAGATAATAAGGAAAACGTAGAAATGAAGCAGGAGGAAGCTAATTATCATCCAGAAGTAGCTATGGATATTCCGACGAAATGTGTACAAGTTTCGCGCACGATGACTGTTAACGCGGCTGTAACATATATAGATTTCGAAGGTAGATCCGACGGCGAATCCCTACAGAAAATTTTGGCGCAGCTAAGGCCGAGAAGAGTCGTCTTGGTCAGAGGTTCGCCTAAAGATACAGAGATACTAGCGCAGCAAGCGCAAAGTACCGGTGCGAGAGTATTTATTCCGGGCAGAGGAGAGACGCTAGACGCTACGACGGAAACGCATATTTATCAAGTAATTATTAGTTGTTGTTTTTACTAACATTAAATAATATAATTTTTATTTATTTTTTTTATTTATATTAATTAAGAAATCGGTGTAAAATCTATTTTTTTTCATTGTAGGTACGTTTGACCGACGCTCTAGTGAGCGGATTGAATTTCTCGAAGGGTAAAGGCGACTCCGAAGTGGCATGGATAGATGCGATGATAACGGCGCGTGACCAGGTTTGTCGAGACGCCATTGCCGATACTGAATCCGAGAACGCGATTGATGAAAGTGACAAAATACTGACTTTGGAACCACTGCCATTAAATGAGGTGAGGCACAGATTGCAAGTAAAACCTACATAAAGGAACGTGCAATTCAATTTACATCTTAAATTATACATTTCAGGTTCCCGGTCATCAAACGACGTTCATAAACGAATTGAAACTATCCGACTTTAAACAGGTTTTGAACAAAAGTAACATTCCATCGGAATTTAGTGGAGGAGTACTATGGTGCTGCAATAACACTATAGCCGTTAGAAGGGTTTGTTTTATTCGTGATATATCAGTAAAAAAAAAAAAGATATTATTCACCCTGTGCCAGTATATTTTGCACTTTTATTCTTTCAAATTTCTTTCGCCTTTTATTTTAAATACAATGAAATGTAAAAAGTGCCAGTTTATGTAGCCAGACAAGTAATTGTTATGTTTATTTTTAGCACGAAGCTGGGAAGGTAATATTGGAAGGCTGCATTTCCGAGGATTACTACAAAGTGCGGGAGCTATTATACGAGCAATATGCAATTGTATAGATTGTGCATAGTATACAAGTACATATAAGGAGACTGCATTTGTAATATATAATAATTATAAGAGTTTTCGTTATTTTATTAATTTTTCCTTACATTTCCTCTATCGCTTTTTTGCACTTTGTAAACAAAATTTTGTATATATAATTTTTTGAAATCGACACCTGCGGAAAAAGTTCTCGGGACTCTAAAAACTCTATTCGACAGCCAATCAGCACGAGAAACTTCACGCATGAATTATTAACCTTAGCAGAGAAAAGCCTGAGAATCTGTAAAAAGAGTAGTGTCAGAGAGAAGCCTGAGAGAGGCCATCCCGGCCTTTTTCGTGGGACGGGACCATCGAAACCATCATCAATATATTATAAATATACATTTGCAGATGTAGCACGGACGCGCACCAAAATGATGTTTTATCGGCAGTGTCGGAAAATGAACGTGGCTACGTAGTACCAATTTTGAAAGTGGATGTATATGTATATGTACTGGCGCCACTGGCGGTAGCTTTCTGACACATATACATACATATAAGTTTCTCTCTGGTTGTGTATTGCAGTTAGGTTAATCGTTAAAAAATAAATTATAGGAATCTATCTAAAGTATCATAATAATCTCAGTATCTCAAATAATCTTGACTTATGTTTATATCGAAGATCGAAACATTTGGCGTTGAGTCAAATTGGACAATTGATTATGAACTTTCATTAAGGTTATGAAAGGTTTATTTGGCGAGAAATAACACGTACTTGCAGCTACAAATGATGAGATACAAACAGAGGGTAAAGTAATATTCGTAACTGTATGCATTGTACTTAGCAATCTTTATGAGCATTGCTGGGTTGAGTAACGTTAATTTTTATTTTTATTTTTATTTTTATTTTTTCAGAACGTTCGAGGATTACGAAGTGTATTGTACATAAGGAATTTATCTTAGAGACTACGTTACATGAAGATAATCATCGACAATATGAGAAAATATTATCAAGCTGCTTTAGCTGTTACAGCGGTAGTGAGTCTCGTATCTCTGCTCGTCTATAGACACGAATATAACAAGCTCAGGTATGTCTTAGAGGTATTTAATTACTTTGGGAAGCCTGGGCCACGAAGAGCGGATGCGAATTGTACGAACTTTAGTACAAGCTTCACCGTATTCAACGCAAAATTTGACGAACCGATTCCCTCTTGGCAACACCTGGAAGATGATCTGTATGTATATTCCGCGTACGGCATCAATGACAAAGAAATACGAGCGGTTGGGCTTGGAACTGTGAACAGCGTCTCAAATATCCAATGTCTCGTCTTCTTCGAGAATGAGAATAAACCTATATTGGGGAGTTTCAAATTTATTCCCATTGGTAACGCGGTAGTTTCAAGTCTGGGAGAAAATTCACGATACGGAGGATATCATTTTGTTTGTGCGTACACCAGCGACGAGACTCCCACTGGAATAACATTTGTCACAAAGTCAAACAAGTATCTGAATTATGCGCCTATTTTTCCCATAAAAATCCAACCGCGGAGCTTGAGCCACAGCAGGATAGGAATGTGCGTGACGCAATCGTCGATGAAGCCAACAAAGTCGATAGACATGATAGGCTTTATCAGCTTCCACGCGCTGATCGGAATGGATAATTTCATCGTATATGATTCCGGAATTTCAAGCGAATTTAACAGCAGACTAAAAGAAATGGCGAACGATCCAACTTCTTTTTGGAAATTTACGTACACCGTTATACCGTGGAATTTCCCTTTCATGGAGATCGATCAAAATGTGATAAGAGAAATCATCGAGACAGATTGTTTATATCGTACATATAATAATGCCGCTTACGCCGTTACTCTCTCCTGGAATGAGTATGTAAATTTAAAGTACCATCACGCAACGATTGATCTGTTGGCGGATTTCAAGCAAACCAAATTCAGAGCCGATCGCTACAAGCTGAAAATTATGACTTTTTGCACGCAACAAGCTGACAATAAACCATATGCCAATTCTACACTGACGATATTGAAGAAGACGAAGACCAACATGAATATTCTGGAGGATCATTCTGTTTATATACACAAGCCACACGTAACATTACAGAATTCTCGCGTGTACGTCAAAGAAATAGGAAATGATTTGATCGCTGTGAATCAATATAAGTATTGTAATAATTATAAAGAGAAACGAGAAGTAGAAGATCTCACAATTTTGAGATTTGCCCAGGATATACAAAACTCGTCGATTCTTAGGAAATATCTTGGACTTTACAATATGCTTGATGCAAATATAAAGTGATATTAGAGTTTTGCGTGACTAATCAAATTAGTTAATATTCGCACAAGCTTGGATAATGCTCCATTTGCATACCATTTTATTCATATATATAGATATTTCATAATTATATGCAGTCTTTCATACTAGGTGCCTTAATCGTCACGTCATAGTTATATACAACTAGTCATGACATGATCAGCTATTTTAATATTTTGTATACATCTCGAATTTTGAACTTAAGCAATAATAAAGCATTCTTACTTGTTACTTTCAACTGTTTCACATCTCTATTTCTTATGCCGTGATATATAATAGTAATGAGAATAATAGAAGTGTGTTAACATACACGGCAATTTTATTATAATATTATAAAAAATTTTTAACTAATGCTTAATGAAAAAAAATAAATTAAAAACTTTGCGTCTAGTTTTTAGACTTTTGTAGTAATTTGAAACATTGTTGAACTTGAAATTAATATGCAATTATAGGAAATAGGTAACGTACAGTAAAAGAAAAGAACGTAGTAAGAAAAAAAGGTGCTATATTCCTAATAAAAATACATAGAAATTTTATTTTCAAGCGATTTAACATATATTTGGTGTCTAATCGTTACATCATTCAATCTAGGAATTTAGAAAAAGTTTACTTCAGTCGTTGCATTATAGCCGAATTTTGTAAACCAGCCTCTTCGATCGTTTTATCTTCCGCAAGCTCCTTCGTTGGATACACAGTTAACAAACTGAAATCCCTTAGAGCGTACTGAGGTCTCATACTGACGTTGTATGTTAAGAAAAATTTGTCTCTCTGAATTTTTCTCCGAGTCGGCTCTAACTTAGAAAAAAAAATATAAGCGTTGAATCAATAAACCATTAGATCAAAGGATACGTTATTACATATCGCCTAAGATCAGCGACTGTATGCGACAGGTTGAATTGAGCCTTTACAACACTGCCGTCCGCAAGACGGATCTGTAACGTTGTGGTCGGCTTTGAGGCATCTAGCTCCAGTTCCTTTTTCGCTTGCGCCTCATTGGCGGCTTGATCAGCAGGATCTGTCGCAACCGTCATGCCAACGGTAGCCGGCGATGGACTGAAATATTTGTTATGTTACAGGAATAAAATTTTAAGAATACAGAAATCGAATCCGAGATCAATTGTAGAATCATATTCCTAAAAAATAAGAGCGAGACGAAGCTCTAACGGTACCTTCCCAGCATGTGCCCCTTTCCCGAGAAGGCTTTCACCTTGGTTTTCGATGGAACATAAGTCTCGTGACGATGATCCTCCATATCGAGCCGCACTTCCGCGCCCTGTACCTGTTGACGAATCTCCGCCGGGATCTCGCCTCGCTTAATGGCATCGAGAAAGTCCCTGTTCTCGACGTCGTCGTACGATCGTATCTCACTGTCGTTTATTGTAAACCCATCCTTCCATAATTTCAGTACAATAAGACCGTTCGAAGATTGTTGATCCGCGTTCGCTCCCATCACCGCTATTGTCACATACAGAACGTAATAAACGTCAGTTTGTCAATTTCTCGTAAAAACAATAAAAAAAAAACGCTTGAGAGAGTCTCTACCTTCGCTATCCGAGCTAGTCTGGCCTAATTTATATCCCGTGCCTCTGAACGTGTTCGGCCTCTGTTGGCCGCCTATCTTGGGCGGATCCGCGGCGAGGGATTGCTCCTGACACGTCTTGAACATGTCGCTGATAATATCCTTCTTCTTCTTTCCCGGTCCCAGTACCTGTTGACCGCTGTGCTCGGAACCGCCGGCGTAAAACGCCTGTCCCTCCTCCTCGTCGGAACTGGTGTCGGCATTCTGTAGATCGTTCAACGTCCCGAATCTGGGCTTCGGTTTGGCGCCCTTCGACTCCGTCGAGTCCGACTTGGCCTGCTTGTTCGACATCGCGCCCGCGTTATCCTCCGATCCCTCCGCTTGCTGTATGTCGAGGCTCTCGGTCACCAGTTCGGCCGGCTCATCGTTCTCGAAGAAGCTGGTGAGGGCGACCTAGAAAGGGAATACTACGTGCCAACGCGTGTGATAAGACCGTCGAAATTTTTCTCCTCGACAATCCTGTTACGGCTCGAGGAAACCTTACGACAGCGTACGACGGCTCGAGCTCCGAGACAAACTTGTGTAATCTTTAAATCCCGCCGGTTAAATGGTTCGCCGTTCGTCGAACGGAATTATATCGTGGAGTTCAGGAGCTGTCGTGAGAGCTCCTAGATTCGGAAAAGGCGAACGCGTCGGGGGGGGGGAAGAAGAAGCGGGCCGAGAAGAGAGTCGCCGAGGAATTAACGACGAGCCCGTTCGCGACGGGCGTGCGCGACAACAGGTTATAAAACTGGTGCCGAGACGCGTATCGAGACACGCGTTTTTCCTGACGGCGCGCGTCGAGGCGTACGAGGCGAGGGAGCTGGGAACCTCGGTCTCCTGGGGTGGGCGCGTTTCGTAAAAATGTGCTGTCTCACCTCGAGCTGCCATGCGGATGACTCAAGGTAAAATAGCGCTCTCTCGGCGTCAACACCAGTTACGTCCGCGAATTGCGAGACCAACTCGTCGTGGCTCGCCATTCTCTGCAAATGTTAAAAAAACTCACGATGTCCGTCCACCGCTTTTCTCTCTCTCTCTCTCTCTCTCTCTTTCTCTCTTTCTCGCTTTCTCTCTCTCTTTCTTCCTTACGACCCCGGTCGCGAAGCCACGAATCCACCCTGCGTGGTGGCCGATTCCGCAAAGCTAACGCACAACGCACCTCCACACGTCAATTCTCTCGATCTGTCCGCCTGTCATTCCCCTCGGCTCCGCGACTCCGCAGTACAGTCCGCACCCGCACCGCTACGCACGGAATCGAACCGGATGGGAATGTTCTGGAGGAAGTCCGTTCGAACGGACCGCACGCAGAGCGTTCCCGCGCACGTTTTGGGAACGCATTGTTAAATTCATTTATATATAAGTGGATTGAATAAATTCAATAAACTTGTGTAAAATAAATTAATCAAGCTTTACCCCTTTTTATCGCACAGAAAAAAAGTGTCCAAACTTATGTACTCAAATTTAGTTGATTAACGCGTTCATATTGTTGCGTATATACGCAATAAATCTATATTTCAATTTTTTTTTTTTGGTTAACCATATAAATATACAAAATGACTTTATCCAAGCAAGTTTTCTTCGTTTAACGTAAATATATTTCAATAACTTCTTGTTCACATAAATATATTCAATAAATGTCAATAAATTCTTTACAGTGATTTAAAAAGGATACCAAAATTTAAAAAGGATATCGAAAGTTAAATTGATTATCGATTTGAAGTATGTGGATTTATTGCTCTAACAAAAAAGAATAATCGGCGCGCAGTTTATTGAATTGGAAAAAATACACACAATTCACAAAGAAATACTATTATTAAGCAACCAAGATCCAATCCGACAGAAAATAACATCTATATTTCTAACTTCTCAACCACTTGCACTCTTATATATACATATATCCAATTAGACTCGACGTAACGCGCTTTGCGCGATAGCCTTCCTCATTATTCTCTAAACACTCGAAACAGCAATCGTGATTACAATTAGCAAATTATATTTTTTGAATTTTTAATAATATAAATTATTGCAACAAAACCTTTATTAATCTCCCTTTAAATAATATAATTTAAATATTGTATCTTAGACCGACTGAAAGATTAGATTAGATTGAGGATAAAATACCCAAACTTTGAAGCTTTACTTCAAAGCTTTACTTCATTTCACGAGAAATATTATAATTAAAGCTAGGAGCGCGCAAGGAATTATAAATTATTTCTCAATTTGACAGAATAATGCCGTGCCACATTTTATCCAATGTACGTGCGACTTATCAGTCTCCAAGGGCACGCTCGTAACGTAATTCCTCATTTTTGTCCTCGCGTCGGTATCCACCCCGTCGAATCGCGTCGGCGAGACGTATACAGGGCATTCGTACACATCGTCAATAATTATCCTTTCTCCGCTAAATGCAAGACGTATCGGCGGCATGTCGTGCCAGAATACGTTTGTCAAGCTTTCGATTAATACACGCCTCTGCGTGTCCCATCGGGCGCCAGACAAATGTAAACCTTGAATGCAATAAACGTCCGCGCCCCCTTCGTCACACGTAACAGAATCGCCGTTCGTCACTTTGAGATTCAACGCGACTTGCTCGGCGGGCAGGCCGCGACGTCGCGAGAACGCGAGGAGAGCCGCGGATAGAAATCTCTTGCAGCAAGACAGCGCGTCGAGATGGATCGCGCGAGGTAGATCGCCGTCGCGCCAACGTCGCACGAAGTTTACGCGCTTCAAGAGCAGGCCGATGTAGCTCGGTAGACGTCCGGTCGCGATGCCGACGTCGATCAGCCTCCAGACGCCCGGAACTTCGTTGTTGCGTATCTCTCTCGACAGATCTTCCAAAGATTCGGTTAAAATCGTCTCGCCGTTCAGCGCCGATTTTAAATTGCTCAAGGAGTCTGCGATCGTCGACAAAATCCTGTTGATCAATTCAGCCTCGTGGATGAGAATCGCGTTTAACGGCTCGCTCGAGATCGCGGGATGTCTATCGCGTATCTCGTTGATGTTGAACAACGCGGGCAATCTACCGCTAATCTCGTCAATTGCTTGCAGTGTCCGATCTTGTATAACTTGATGATGATCGGGCGATTTGATTTGGTCCAGGCGTGATATCGATTCCAGGAATTCCCTGGCGACAGCTGTGTCTTTTATAACAAGGGCGTTCTCGTCGCAGGCAAAGGCTTCCGCCGATGCATCCAGTTGCATATCGCTAATGTGCGTGATGATATCGCGATACTCGCATCTCTGCGGTACTGAATGTTCTATGTAGTTAGAAAAGGAATATTCAGCATCCTCGATGACGCGGGGGTCGCAGAAGGAGTTCAGCAGGTGTCGCAGACACCTCTGATCAAGGCGATCCGCGATTTTCCCGCCGTAGTTACATTCCCCGATCAGATAAAGCAGCGTGCCGAACGGCACGTTCTCGGTTTCGTTAATTAAGCTCTGCAGCTGTCCGATGGACATTTCGAAGTCCGTGTGATCGAAATCGTACGGGACGTTCCATCCCTGCGGCCCGAAGTGCCTTCTCTCTCTGACGATTCCGTGGAAGAAGCAGAGCCCGTACAGGAGCTTGGAGAACTCCTTGTCCTTCCCGGGACATCCCTCGAAAAATTCCTTGCTTCTTATCGGCTCGGATCGATACGCTCTCAACAAGCTCTGCTTCAGCCGCAGCGGCTCGTCGTACGCGATCTTCACGCTGTTTTGCAGGATGCCGATGGGGAGGTCCGGAGTGGAATAGCTGGAGAGCCACAGTCGAAAGTCCAAGGATGTACCGGACAGATTCAGATTCTCGCAGATTCGCTCGAGTCGCGGTATCCACGACGCGGCGTGATGGCAGTTTTGCAAAAATATCCATCCACCTTCCCTTCGCGCCCGTTCCACGAGCATCTCGGCGCGGGCCTGCTGCCCGTCGCCCATGGACAGGGAGATGAATTTTGAGGTGTATCCTCTCGCGCTCGCGTAGGTAGAGACGAGCGACAGGGGCGAGGCGTAGCTCGGCAGAATAAATATAATCGGCGTGAGGCAGCTGGATTCCGCGTAGGACTCGGATATCTGAAGGCGAGGATAGGAATTGAACACGTCCTCCATGGTGTCCTCTATTAGCCGTATTGTTTCCACGATAATCTTGTCGCACCTCACGATCTTGATGATCATCAGTTTCTGAAACCGTGTCAGGCTGTCGGCCCACGAACTCGGTGTCAAGTGGCTTTGAAACGGTGTCGCGTTGCAATATTTCTGCCAGGCTGCGCCGTTGGCGCGAAAATCACTTGCAAGTTCGTGCAAATTGGACACCGCGCTGCTCAATCTGCAAATTTGTCTCCATTTGTCCGTCGGTAACCAATCCGGCCCTGGCTCCAAGATCGCGTCGCAATCCTCCGAGCCTGAAGAGACGAAGTGTTCAACCTCCTCCCGCGTAGTCTGCCGAGCGTCTATCAAAACTTTTACGCACAGCAAAAAGGAATATAAAAGCTTGTGCTTTTCGAAGAGCGACCTGCAGACGCTAGAATGGAGGTTCCTCGTGAACGAAGACTTGAGGAATTGCAGTCGTTTTTCGAGAACGACGCTCCGGCTCGAAGTCTCGATCGAGGTAATGTACAACTGAATAAACCAGGAGAATGAAAATCGGTACATGTGATTCAAGTTGGACAGGGTGGTCAGCGTGCAGAATAAACCCGCGCAGTGATCGGCGAACTGCAGGTACGCGTCTCTGAACTTGTCGATGTCCTCTGCCATCGCTCTGGCTGCTGCCTGCTTCCTCACGATGTCCATAGTGAGATTCTTGGAGGAATCTAAGATCTGTATCGCGTTTTCGTCCTCCAGGATATTCGTGGTGGTCGACGAGAGGGTGCTCAAGATGTTGGCCTCTTGTTGTTGAAGAACTTTCTTGTTAGCGGCATCTTGAACGCGGAGCGCTTCAAATTTCTCCTGAAGCTCCGGTTTCTCTTTCGAGACAACGATGTCCAGAAGCTTATCCCGAAGAGTCCCGTCTGGCATCGAGAAGTCGATTATCGTAAGTTTCCCGAAGACATCGACCGTATAATTTGGATTAGACAGTCTCGTGGTGATGTAAAATCGAAAGTTTTGCGAATATCTCACAGATTTAGCCCCGATATCTATGTGCCAGTTTTCATTTTTATAAATATTCTTCAACAGGATTGGTTCCAGTGCAATTTCGAGTTGCTCCCCGACATTTTCTAACAAAACTGGGTTACCAGTTTCAATATTTCGTTCGATGACCGACATATAATCGGAGTCCGTCAGTTTAACGATTTTCAAGTCATTTTTCTCTTCCATTTTCTTGATCCATTGATTTATCTGATTCTGCGAGTCGATGAAAAGGCACCATTGTTCCGAATTATTCAGAATGATGGCATTTTCTATCGCAAAGCGATTTTTCGATAGACCGCAGAGCTGCCAATGATTGATCTCGATTTCCACGCCAAGAACACTTATGAAATCATATGTTTTAGTGTATAGTATCTTAGAAGCCTCCATAAATTCTTTCCACTTGATCAACATTTCATCGCGAAAGGAAGTGTTGTAGGGCGCCATATAAGCTATTATTCCACACGAAAATAACATGTCGCCCACGAGACTGTCGTAATTCATTTGAAGATTATGAGCGCACTGCATCCAGTGGCTCTTCTCGCCTCCCAGACTGGCGATCAGCTTCTCCGCCTTGACCAGCTTGGCGGTGCACGTCGCCACTTCCATCTCCAGGTTCAGTTTCTTCTGCAGCGTTTGCCGCAGACTGTCATTCAGCGCCGCCAGTTTCGCGTTTAAGGCGGCCAGGGTTCGTCGTTTCTCGTTCAGGAACGCCTCGGCCTCGTCGCACTCCGTTTGCGCCTCCGCCAGTTTCTTCTTCTTGGGAGCGACCACCTTCGCCACCTCGTCGTAGGACACCATGGCGCGGACCCACTTGCAGAGACCCTCGGCGGCGCTGGACGCTTTCGCGACTATATGAGGCATGAAACTGTTGTCCGTCATGTACGTCTTCTTGATGATCTGCATCACCGCGGGCGCTATGTTGTCCTTGTCGTAGTCCTTCAGGTTCTGCAGGAAGTTCATGTCGCCCAGAATGCGCTTGCTCGGGCCCCAGTAGTCCGTGAATTTCTTCCCGGTGGCCGGATCGATGCTGCGATCCGGGGGAACGCCCAGCATCACGCAAACGGCGGCCATCACCAGCTTGATGGTATCTGGGGGATTTTTCATCGCTTTCACCAACGTGATGTCGGTCGGCTTCAGCGTGTTCAGCGCGATTACCGCGTCCTCCAGGATCGGTATCGCAACGGCGAGATCAGCCTCGCATTCGGTTTTCAGGGTGCCCGCGATCTCCGCCTTCTTATTCGCGATTTCCTCTTCCTGCTTCACTTGAATCGTAGCTCGCTCCACGGTAATATTTTCATTTTCCACCTCTTTCATAGTGATCACGGTCTGTTGAGCGGACAGCTCCAATTGGGGCTTCAGGATCGTCAGAGTGGCTTTCATCTGTTCGACTTGCTCGGCTGCCAGTTCCAACTTTTCCAATCCCGCTACGTATCCGTTCCGTGTTGCGACGATTTCCTCCTGCTTCCTCGACGTCAGTTGCATGTATAGTTTCAGCATGTGCAGAAAGGCCGACGACGTCACGTGAATGCTCCTACCGAACATCTCGCGATATTTCAAACTCATTTCCTTCGCACTGTTGTGGAATTGCACGCAGACTCTCGCTGCGTCAGCTTTAACTTCTTCCCGCACGTTAACATGCCTCATATGCCTCACGGCGATCTCTAAGAGCGCCTGATCGGGCCAAACCTGATAGCAGTTCACCGTGCAGTGTTTCGCTAAGTTAGGATACGAGCACAAATATATTCTGAATGCGGCGCTGGTAGGACTGAAGCAGAGCACGAAGTGCAATCTGTTCTTGCACTGATCTATGAAATAGGTCATCACCGAACGCGCACTGAGTTCTGCGTTTCGGTCACCATCCTGGGCGTGCAGTCGCGTCATCTCGATTATACTCTGCTTGTCCTCGGCGGAGAACAAGTCGGGTAGCTCCCCGGTGCTCAACAGGCAGCTAATGTCGCTTAAAAACGCGTCCTTTACCTGCCTTTCGTTCATAAAGTACGTAACGTCCTTCCGTAACGCCCCGCATTCCCGTAGGACTCTTCTTAATTCATTCCTCCACGCGTCCATGTCGTAACAGGACTCGACGGTGGTTTCAAATAAGGGTTGCTGCTGCATGAAAGCAGCCAGAGTGGTCGTGGACTTCCTGCCGGTACCCGCGGTAGATATCATTAACGCGTTTCCACCCGGGGTGCTCAGGATTCGTGAAACTTTGATCAGAGATTCCAACATGTAACGACATACGACAACGTTGATTTTTCTTTTAGAGCTAGCGTTGTATTCGTCCAAGCAAGCGAGGACTTTGTTCTTTAGAGCTTCCAGAGAACCGATTTCCTCGTACCGTCTGCACTTGCCGCTCTTCTCCGTGTCCATGAAATTCCCGAACATCAGATCGCTGAAGCTGTCCCTGGTGATCTGATTTTCGAATTTGGGCAGGTGATCGAAGGCGACCTCGAAAGAGTCCTTGAAGTTGCTCTTCACTGCGTCGCGTATTTTCAGGAAAAGCCACTCCTTGTCACTCTCGTCTAGCATACGATCGCCGAACACGCGTAAGATCTCGTGCACCCACAGTCGAATGAACGTTATCTTCGTCTCCACCGATTCCTTCTGAATCAGGCCGCATCCGTTGATCACTCTGGATATATCCCTCATGTCAAAGTAGTAGTACAGTTTGCTGGGCACAGGCCGCAACGTCTTTATTACGGACTTGTAAACGTCAATCGTCGCGTTCACCATGCTGGTCGCGCTTCCCGTGACGTCTGCCGCGAACAAGTTCTTCTTTAAATTAGCAAGCAGCACATTAAAATATGTTCTGAATATATTATCCGTCGTAGGAGCAGGAATCGCGTAGGTGTTAAAATGTCTCAGAAGTCTAGGAGGTACGCTCCCGTTGATTTTTCTCGCGGTAACCGCGAGCGTGAACATAATGTCCTGTACGAACACTTTATTTAATTCATCCGTGTCGTAACAGTAATCGTAACTGAGTAGTTGACGTAAGAGGTCAAATACGGGCCGTGCCTCTGATTTTTGCACGATCGCTCTATTCAAGTCGTCCACAAAGTTTACGCAGAATTGATTTCTTCCCGGCCCGTAGGCGGTACGTCGTATTTTGTTCAACTTGGAGAGTAATAATCTCTGCGTTCTGGTTACCGTGATCATCGAGGTAAAACTAAAAACATTGGAGAGGCAATTTTCCGGCAACTTGTTTCTCAGAAGATCGTACATGATACTCGTCTTGCCAACGGAAACGTCGCCGTACAAGAGGAAAGGCTTCCGGTATTTAATGTGCTTCAAAAATATATGACTGTACTTCATACTGTTGACGCTCGGAATGTAAATTTGATTGAAGTTACATATCTCGGGGATTTTTTCGCTTTTCAGCAGATCGCCCCAATACTTCCAGTTCCCGACACCTTTAAAGATATAGAAGTTGTCTTGGATTAAACCCTCGGTAGGCAGCGTTACGTCGAAATGTTTAATTACGTCGGGTTTCGGATGCTCTTTTTCTGTGCCATTCCAGAACGATACGCAGAAAGCGTTGAATCTAGTTTGCGAATCCTCGATCAGGTTTCCACCCAGTCCCCAAACAATAGCTAAGATTAAAGCGGCTTGTGCCCATATGGCAAAGTGATTGTCCTTTCCCTTATCCCCTGCGACATTTTCACAGGCGTCCCTCAACAATATTTCAAATAAATTTACGGTCGACGTAACAAGATGTAATTCCCGATCTGTCGGTATATCGCCATTTTCCCTTAAATAATTAAGACACGGGTCTATCGCCCAATCGAACAGAGCACGTAGCATTTCGTTATATCCATCGTAAAATGGTTTGGTGATGTGAGACAGCGCGTACGGTCTCCAGCCAACAGAGTGCGTATCAATATAGATTATTCCGCACCGTGATATTATACTGGGTGAAATTTCTACCGTGCTCGTCGTTTCAAAGATAACGGACATTGATTCCGTCGTGGGAAATCGTTCTCCAGATGTCAAATACAACATTTTATTCTCGTCGAGAATCGTATACATGTTTTCCATCCACGTGCCGCTTAAGTCTCCGTCAAGCACCAACCATTTGCGGTCTGTTGAGGTGTCTTCCGCAAAGCGACGAAATACAGCGGTGCATAAACCGTCCTTCCAAATCCCAGACTTATCGCAGAGATGTCCGAAGAGCGCGTCGCTATCCACCACTCCCGGTACGACTGTTTCGAGTTTCACGGTGGCGCCAATTTTACTTTTTTGCTCGTGCAACAACGATAACGTTTCAGCGAGTGTGCGTAATATTTCCGTCTTTCCACCCGAGGGATTACTGATGAGTATAAGACCGCGACGAACGTACATTAGCTCAATGATCTGTATAGCTTTTAACTTGAAGACCGTATGCAACGTCAGAAGTCTCTTCGCGCACACGTTTTCGAGAGCGTTTAGAATCGCCGAACAATCGAAAGGAAGCACGACGGTCTGAGGAAAAACATCTTGCATGATACTCTGGAAAATCGGTATATCGGTGTTACATAACTGCGGAATATTTATCTGTATCATCGAACGCAGCAGCAAGGTGTATTCCTCGTTTTCGTCTGGGATATTTCGCTTCATATTAATTGCAGTCGCGACGACGGTCTTGAGTGACGACGTACTGAAGTCGTAATGGCGCTTCTCTCCCAGATGTTCGGATAATAATTTATAACCGACAGCTAGCTTCACCGCCAGATTTCTCGCGTGAAGAAATCCTCCAGCGAAGAGTTCCATTTCGGCAATCCTGTCAATATCCGGCGCCATCATTGATACGGAACGAAAGAGAACCTTCAAGTTATCCGGCAAATCAGCGTGCTGCCCCGATTGCTCCGAATTGACGTTAACGCATATGTTTCCGGAGGCATTTAAATTCAAGTTGCAACCTTCGAAGTTTACGATCTTCGAATTAGACGACACCGCTTGCTTCATCTGCGTGAGATTCTGAGCGATGGCCGACAGCAATTCTAGTCTCAATTGGTTGAAGTTCTCGAAGCAAATCCACGCTCCGCAAGAGATCATTCCTTTAAATGTCCGTATCACGCAATCATAGGAGACGCTGTTACTGCAATTGACGACGTAAGACGGCTTCGCGATAGCTCTCGTCAGGCTTTTGATCGTTTCCGTTTTCCCGGTGCTTGTCGGACCTATAATACTACTGTACGAATGATAACGATAAGCTTGCAATACAGTACGAAAGCACCTATCGGTTAAGGGAGTGTTGACAATATTCTGTTGATAATAGTTATATTCGTATCCGTATTTAATTGTCGTATCGAATACTGATACTTCGACAATTTTGTCGTTGCAATAATATCTCAATTGCGCGACCCATTCGAAGTCTGTCCGTTTAACAATATTTCTTTCCAACAGCAGCTTTATGATTTCTTTATGAGCCGACGTGATAATGACCAATGACGTCAACAGACTCCTCCGCCTTCGTGTTAAACCACTTTTCAATTCGTTGGTTATCGAAATTATCCCGTCGGCGTATGTCGCGAATAAAGAGTTTAACATCGTGATATTTAATGGCGCAAGACATTTTTCTACCGAACAAGTCCAATAAAGTTGCAAACTACAAATGATCGCCATGCTTGGGAAACTGTTTGCAGGAAGAAACGTTGAATTTCCATCGACCAAGGAATGATATTGCAGAATGTTTTTGTGAATTGCGTCTTTCATTTCTTTTTCGAGCAAAATTAACCATTGCTCTTCGCACTTAGCGTCAGGGGATAAAGAAATGTTATTATTTAGATACAAGATCTCTCCGTAATGCCCAATGATGCCACGAATGCAGTTGGATTTGTTAAATTTCAACCGTTCTATACCAGCGAAACATTTCTTCACGAGCGTATGCAGTTTCCCTGCGTCAATCGATTCGAATAATATTTTCTGAACCTCTGAATCTTCGAGGAAAAAGAATCTCGCGAACGACAGTCTTTTAATATCTAAGTAATCCTTTACACCTTTGATCGCTTTCTCCAATTTCTCGTTAGCTTCATTTAAGATCTGTAGCAAATCTGACGATTTTTTTATTTCAAGAAAGCTCGGATTTTCCATGAATCTCTTATTAACGCTTAGCAAAACGTTCGTCCCTTCCGAATATAACGAAGTTTCTCGACTTAAACGCGTTTCTATTTTTGGATAAGAAAATATCGGTTCTAAGTATAGTTTACGGTGTTGCACTCGCGTCCACTGGTCAAGGGTTTCCTGGATCCTCGCGAGAACGGCGAAAAAGTCAATTAAGTCCGACAATATTGGCTTCACGAAATGCGACGCTCTCATCTCCTCAATCTTGACGAGGTGCTCGCTGAGCAGAGTTTCGATGTCGTTCGCGTGTTTGAAAGACACCATACCGGATTCCGCATCGGTCGTCGACATCTCGAACGACATCGGCTCCCACGCCCTAATCATCTCGGCCAGTTCCCGCTGAAGACGAAGCTCCTTGTTGGCGCCCAAGCTTATCGCCTTGTACCTGTCGATGTTATCCATCAGGTTCATGTCGATCATTTTCCTCAGAGTCGTTCCCGCGTTCGGCGTGAGATCGAAATCGCATATCGCCGACATCTCCCTCCAATGGCGCGCATTCAGTGCCGGATTGCACATGCAAACCGCGAGCGGCACGTAAACCTTGAACTCGTTAACATTATTGAGCGCTTGCCAGCACAATTTCAGCGGCGCGGGCTGCTGCATCGGGTCGGGATCGTCGGCGATGCCGGAAAATTTGTACGACTTGTTCGCCGTCGCGTCCATCTTGATGCGCGACTTCATCGTCTTGCCCATGTCCGTGATCTCGTCGAAGTAATACGTAGTTTTCCTCTCGATAACGGAGGAGTCTAGGCATTCGAACGGACCGTTTAGCCACACGGAGCTGTCCCTTCGCCACTGATGTACGGTAAATATAAGCTTGTAGAACGGCATGATCGTTTCCTTCAGCTCGATTATCTTCGGAAACTCCGTTTCGGGAAACTTGAAAAGCCTCTCCTCCGAATTAATAACTTGCATCTCGTCGTCTATACGGTTGTACTTCTTGATCAGATCCTCGTAATGCTCCGCGTATTCTCCGACCTTGCTGACGTCGTCCATGTCGTCCAGGATGACAAGCTGCGGGAACATCGCGTCGACCTCCGAGTTCAACGTGTTTATTCGCCGTTGAAGATCCTCCTCCAGCTCGCTCTTCATAGCCTCGCACAGCGTGTTGTTCTGCGCGAACACCGGCTGGATATCGTGCAGCCAATTGATGGTGGTCTTGTTTAAATCGATGTGCTCGTCGGTCAGTATAGTAATCTCCAACAGTTTGCTCAGCATACATATCGATTCTCGTATCTTTCGCTCCTGTTCCTTCATCAGCACTCTCGAAGCTCGCGACATACGTTCGCTCAATTGTATCAAGGAATTTGCGTCCCTTGGAATGTCCAGCGCGGTAGATCTCAGATCCTCAAAGTCCGAACAGATCGAGCGATTGAAGTCACGATGATACTCGACGAGCTCCGCGGTGAGAACGTTTATGACGTTGCGGCAGATCTGCCTCAAGGATTCCTTGGCGCCGCTTTGCTCCAACTTTCCCACGTTGTAGTACAAATTCGAAAGCATGGAGTTCGTTTTGCCGAGATACTCGTTGTACCTGCATATGTGCTCGAAGTAAACGTCAAAATTTGGTTGTTCGGAAGTCAAAGATAATATTCGATTCTTGGCGCTCGACGCGCATATATCGCTAAAATCCACGAAGACGTGCGCCACGTGCTTGCTCATAGGTCGAAACAGCGCGTCTAATATTTCCTGCAAACTACGATGGGACTTCTCGACGAACCAGTCGGGAAGAACTATCTTTATGTACCTTTCCCTCGCTTTGACGTTCAACCATTCTTCCAACGGTATCAGATCCCGCGCGATACCTTCGATGCTTCGGATAATGTTGTGATACGTCGAGAAGACCTCCCCTATGTCCGGCTTAGTTACGAGCCGGTCACTTTCGCACACCAGCTGAAATTCGATTTGCGGACAGAAACGACCGTCCTCCATGGTGTCTATTACGTGATCGATCGATCTCATCATCACGCTGAGAATCTGCTGGACGAATACGTTCGTGAGGCATCGCATGAATTCGGACAGGCGTCTCGCGGAGACGCTTCTCAATAATTTCGATCTCTGCACGGCTTTAAATGTCTCGGTGTAAAATTGATTGGTGATCGCTAAAGAGCCCCTCTTAATATCTTTAACGGTCATATCTTGAAAACAGCGCAGCGTCAACATACCGAGCTCGTGGTAACGTCGGAAGTCGCAAATTACCGCGGGTAGAAGACGATACGCCGTGTTCATGATATGTCTGATTATCGGACAGGAGAGAAAGTATCTCTTGGCGAACGAATTACGACGCTGTAAAAATATTGCGTGATCATATGCTTTATCGCTCTCGATGACGTGTCGCGTCGAGCCAGCAGGAACATCGCGCTCTTCGCAAGCAACGTGTTCCTCCCGCCTGTACACTTTGCAGGACAGTATGGATTTTAACACGAAGTCTTTCATATTTTCAATGTAAATATCGTTCACTTCATCCAACACTGAGTTTATGAAAGAGAAATGTTTTCGCCTGTCCGCGCGAGGTATCAAGTCTAATATGTTTCTTCTCCATTCTGCTGAAAATTCCGGGACATAAATATTTCTTATGTAATCTTTTAATCGGACTCGGTTCGGCTGATTGGAATCTGGATATTGAGACACCGCAAAAGTTGACTCCAAATTCCATTCCATATTCGCGAACACGTTTCTGCTAGGACGCTCGCTGTTTACTCCGCGGAAATTTTTAATCGATTGCTCCGCAATAATTTTATAAAATATTGCTAATAAATGTTAAACATCCATTTTGTCTGTAATTATGGATAAACGGTAAATACACTTAAAACACAGTTATAAATTATTATCAAGCAGCTTCCTCTGCTATTTAAGAACAAAGCTTACAGAACTAAGTTTCTTGGATACCACGTATGTTTTATCAATAGCGAGCCTATAATACTTTGGACGCACGTGCAAAGCAGAAATAGCAGAATTCCGGATAATAATTTTCATGTTATAATTAAAATTTAGATTTTTGAGACAAATTATTTATTTATTGTAAAGTGCTGCGTTATTTAAATATATTGAAGTCTATGATACATTATTTGGGCCTGAATTTTATTTTTTAGTTATATATATATGTAAATGTGTAATACTATTATCAATAATAAATGTAACATCATTATAATATTGATAATCCTATTGTTTACTAATTGGTACTCAATTATTGTTTTAAAATAGTGTCATGAACAGCTGATTGGAAACATCCGCCATCTATTGGAAATTTGAATAGCTAACAATACATCGGATGTTTACTTGACTCCAGTCCAGTCGGTCCGCTCTTCTTCGCGTGTGTTTACGCGTCTCCGTGGTCGATTGTAACAAGAGGTTATAAATATGAGTAATATTTATATACAAGAACCGCCTACAACGGGCAAGGTGAGTGTGAATTATTTTACAAGTAAATGAAAAATTATGAACAAAGTCATAAGATGATCTATAAATTTTTTTTTCAAATAAAAAGCTGAATTAGAGCTAATATGAGAATATGGTATAACTTAACTCCCTTTACTTTACCTCTCTTTACCTTACTTTATTATATTTATGATTATCATACAAAGCATTTGAATAAATGATATGGCTTCAAGTTTTAATTTACTTTTCTATTTCGACAAATACAGGTGGTAATGAAAACAACGGTTGGCGACATAGATCTGGAATTATGGACGAAGGAGGCTCCCAAGGCTTGTCGAAATTTCATACAGCTTTGCATGGAGGGCTATTATAACGGTACGATATTTCACAGAATCGTAAAAGGGTTTATAGCGCAAGGTGGAGATCCGACAGGAACGGGAGAAGGCGGTGAGAGCATATATAAGCATCCCTTTAAGGTACAATTATATAATTAATTTCAGCTGGATATATATTTCTTGCTTGTATTCTTAGTTTGACAATTATCATTTATATTATTTATTTGCAGGATGAATTTCACACAAGATTACGTTTTTGTCGGAGAGGATTGCTCGCTATGGCCAATGCTGGCAAAGACGACAATGGTTCCCAATTCTTCTTCACGCTTGGCGCAACACCCGAGTTACAAAATAAGCATACTATCTTCGGTAAAGTCACTGGCGAAACAATTTACAACATGCTCAAGTTGGAGGACGCACTTGTAGATGAAGTAAATATTTTACATATGTATATACTTTATTTTTACATAAAAAAAGATTGATGTATAATTTTATAACAACAAATATTTAATTTTTAGAATGACAGACCTCAGTATCCACACAAAATTTTAAGAACAGAGGTCTTAAATAATCCATTTCAAGATATTGTCCCGAGAATAGTATCTGAAAAGAAGGAAAACAAGGAAAAAAAGAAGAATAAGAAGACTGGTGTAAAGTAAGATAAATATATAGCTGTTTTTAAATAATAAATGTCTATGTCTTGTTTTATACATTTGCAAATGTGTTAGGAATTTCAAACTGCTATCGTTTGGGGAGGAAGCTGAGGAAGATGAAGAGGAGTCATCAGTTTTAAACAAACAATACAGCGGCAAAGGAAAATCAGCGCACGATTGTTTATCTGATCCAAAGTTAAGCTCACAATCTGTGGTTGAATCTATTGAACCACCAAATAAAAAAATTAAAGGGGATCGCAACAGCGATTGCGAGAGCGATGAAACACGAACTCCGGAAGAATTGGCTGCTTTAAAAGAAGAAAAACAGTAAGTTACATAAAAATAAAATATTATTTAACAGAACAGTTATTCTAATTAAACAGTTATTATGTATTCTAATTAACAGTTAATTGAACAGTTATTATGTATTATAATAATAGAGCTATGAAGGAGAGAATCAAGAATAAATTAAAGGATTCTAAAAAGATTTCCCAATCAAAACCGATAATCGAGAACGATGAAGCAAAAGCTGAAGATACAAACGAAAACGGAGGGGGCGAGTCGGACTCGCAAGTGCGCAACCGGACTTCCTTCTCTAACGAGCAGATAGACAGCCTCGAGAAAGAATTCGAGCGGACACATTACCCGGACGTGTTTGCACGGGAGCATCTCGCCGAGAAAATCGGATTACCTGAGGAACGTATCCAGGTGTGGTTCAGTAATCGCAGGGCGAAGTGGCGTCGAGAGGAGAAATTACGGAACCAGAGGAGGGCCGCCGTCGATCAGGAGGTGGTCGCCGCGGAACCCGATGAATATTATTTGGGAAAAGATCGAGATGAAGAACGCAAGAAAAAGGCGTATGTGATAAAATAGATTTGTATTTTTAGAAAAAAAAAAATTATAAGTATTTATATTATTTAAAATTTAATTTGCAGCGAAGCAATAAGGCAAGAAATACGTGATCTAAAGCGCAGCGTAAGAAATGAGAAGAAAGCGAAGGTAGATGAAAAGCAACAAACTGAGAAGGAAGAAAATGAGTCTGAAGTAATGAGAGAATACACAGAGCTTTATGAGAAATATAAAACTAAGGACAAGTTGCCTAAGAAGGGCAAAACGCGTGAAGATTTTATAATGGGATTATATGGACAATTCAGGAGTAACCTTCAAAACGTCAAGGATAACGCGAAGGATAATACCACGAGTTCCGATAAAAAGACGTCGAAAGATATCGAGGATGACGATGATGATGATCCGGATGATAAATCTTCGTTGTACACACACGTTATGCGCTGCGAGGAGACGACTCCAGTGCTCGCCAAGGACGCCAGCACGAAGGACGATGATTGGTTTGAAATCTACGATCCTCGAAATCCATTGAATAAACGACGAAGGGGAGAGAACTCCAAGTCTAAAGACGACAAAAGTGGCAGGAATTATTCCCGTCATAAAAATGATTCATAATTATTACATAATATAATTAATGATTTTTAATTAATTGAATATTTAGCACACGAAGAGCAAGTGTACATAGAAACTGAAAATTTATGTATAACTGATATGTCGCTAAAATATATTTCTCGAACATATTCGTCAGTCTTGAATTTATTAAGAATATAGCATCACAGTTGTTTCGTTAATAAAAAGTGCAATTCTCGTTATTTTGTTTTTATTTAATTATCTGCAATTAAATAATTTTGTTACCCAAGCACGTTTACTTTCGGTTACTTTTGTGCGCTGTGTTTTACATTCGGCATTGTCGACTTGCTCATTGTCAATAGCTGCTAAACGTACGTATGTGAGAGAGAAAGAGAGAAAGAGCAAGACGTTTAAGATTCCGAAATTTATTTCGGAAAGTGGACAGCAGCTACGTGTCATTACGCTTCATACGCGATAAGTATAACAGTATATATTATACATGTGAGAAATCCTGTGCAAATAGACCGCCAATCGTGTCTTCTTTAATTCGTGTGTATTAAAGCGCGATAAGACGTTGATACAAAGCATAGCATGTTCGTTCGCAGATTCAGTCGATCTGTCGACGGCGACCGATACGCATCACGCGTTTTGTTTGATTTCGCGATAACAGATCGAACGCATAATTAGCGTGTCTCATCGCATCTTTTGGATAAACAAGGACTTCTCGTGAAAGGCGACGCTTCTAGAATTTTTGTTTTTTTTTTTCTAATCGGCAAAAGTGTAAATTAGTTCGAATATAGATTAATGCGCGAAGTCGAGAAACAATTTCAGCAAAATTGAAATTTGCTGCGTGCGTTAATTCGGCGTTAAATCCTCGACGTGGTGTGTCACAAGGGCGAGAGCCCTTGAAGCTGCAATCTGCAATTAACGTCGCCGTTTGCAAGTGACTTGATATTACATAACATGATCGAACGCGAAAAGTAAAAAAAAATAATTGGCGCAGTGTGTGTGTGCTTCTTAGAGGAGTTCTACCCATCTTGGGAAGAAAACGTGGCTGGGACTTCCTGTCTTGAGTTCCGAGCGAGCAGGTCTATGCCGCGATCTTTCAAGAAAGATGTCAACGACACCTTTAAGAATAGGTATACATAACTCTCGTTAGGGATTTTTCCACCGATGATTTGTCATTGCTCTCCGCATCAATATGCTTTAACACGTTATCAGTGCGAATAATGATGCATTGTGGAAACAATGCGCATAAACGCAGTTGGCAATGCGCATAAATACGCAATGCGTCGATATGTTGATTTTCTGATGCACTTTGAACGACGGATACTTTTTATTTGCACTTTGCAGAAGTGCCTTATAACGGTACTCTTTTTTTTTTTAGTGAAAATGTGCAAGCACACGTGTTTCTTTTCTTTAATTTAAAAAAATATATATATGTTCTTTGTTTAATTAAAAAATACAAACAGACAAAATGCTGGAATACTCTTTATAATTATAAAATAAAACAATGAAGATTTTTGGGAATATCGTGTAGCGTTTTTTTTTTTCAATGATTTTTGTACACGAATTTTTGCAGTGCACGTTGCGTTCAATAATCATTAGCCGCACTGTGTATAGCAATGAGAGAAAACATTGCCTTTAAAAAGGCGTCACATTGACTCTATAATCGCGCATTCTTCTTTAATGTAGTTCATTTAATCGTAATAGTATAGATGCGTGTGTGCCATGCCGCCCTCGCGGGACAGATTGGTTTTATTTTTAAGTTTCACGACTTGGCTGGCCACTGTAATTTTAGCAGCATGTGTTCTACGCACGGATGAATCCTTCTTTCCACAAACACAATGCGCATAACGCGATATAAGCCAGCAATGAGACTATATTTCTTTCTATAAATTTATTTTGAGATGAAACGGGAACGCGTGCGACTATATGTAGTCTAAAAAGAAATTTGGCGTAACTTTTTACAATAGTATAAATTCGTCATAACAGAAAGTTCAAAGACAGATTAATTACTATTAAAATTACTTCATATAATATAAAATTTATATGATAAAAATGGATTGCCGTTTTAATTAGTCAATATTATATATAAAACATGGAGCTTCCATAAATCGCATAGTTCTCGATAATGAAAGGAATCTTTCATCCCAAACCGTTTAATTTTCACGATGCTTTATTTGCCCAAGCCGTCTGAGTAAATAATGATCTTCCTATCCGACAACGCCGCGTTCCGTAAAAGAAAAGAGTTATCAATGCGATATGTGATAAGTTATCGTAGAGAGCATTATTCCGTAGATCGGGTCATCGTTTCGTTGAAGCATAAAGGTGAGACTGATGACCTCTTGATCATCAAATCTGCCATCATACGAGATTCTCAAATCGCGACGTCCGGTTCGCGTTCTCCCACGAGTTCACGAAGTCGCTGCATGTATAATAATCTGCGTTGCTCCTATTTAAATTTACATGCGTTTTCCTTTAAATATAGTTTGCTGTAGCGTGTTCTCAGACTTTCCGATAATTTACTCGCTATTACGAAATGTTATAAACAAATCGTGCGACGCGTGCCGCGCAACGAGAACGGAATGTTAACGTTTTTAACTAATTAATATACGTACGAATTGCTTTTTTCCATCGATGTATAAAATGTGTAATTATTTTTCGTAAATATATACAATGTTATTTTTATATTTAAAGAAACATGAAGAAAGAGAAACCGCAAAATATCAGATATAATTACTTCGTGTTTGCGAGAAACATCGTCTTTAACGCATAGAAATTTGAAAGTCGTCCTCGCTCTAACTGGGTTTTGTTAGATAAGATTGTATAGAATTATCGAATAATGTGTCATTAATGTGTAGACAGCGTTTTATTACGTGTTTTATTAGTGTTGTGCGATAAGGTGATTTTGAATTCAAAAATCTGTGTGTCGAAGTATAATAAGATACGGGATTCCATAAAAACAGAGCCCGCACTTTAGCGTTAGCACGATTTTATAGCAAAGCTGTGGAGGACTGACGGAAATTTCCAATGCTTTTTAAACGCACGTACATTTGCAGGCGAGGACACGTATCTTGTGACCTGTCGTTGCAGATAATAAACGATAAGGAACTATATCTCCTACATATGCTGCATTCCATATCGAGACAATTGATACGTTTAATTATAGGTCTATTAATTTTATCAGACTCGACATCGAGCGTCAATAAGTCTAGTTACAGAAAACGACAGGTGTACAATATTTTTATATATTTACAAGTCTATCTCTGTAACATTTATCATTTTTCACGTTTAGTTTCGTACGTAAAATTTTTTGCAAGGAAGAAGACAACTTTGAAAATATCGCATTTCTAGCACTTTTAAAAATAGTTTTTGAAGTTTTCAATATTTCTCGAATAATTTAAAGAGGCTGAATTAACCTAAATATACATATATATAAACAAAAGTAGCAAAGAATTGAAAGGAAAGTAATCAGTTTTACCTATTTATCTATATTTAAATCAGTTATCAAATAGATCTCTAATGTTATCGATGCGAGAAATAAAATTGAAGACGACTGTGAACTCATTTCTCAGATTGATTAAACTTTCAGAAAGTTAAGATATGTTTGTACGTTTTACATTGGCGATATTTTTTTGCAGAGGATGGTATTCGCCCACGAGATTGGCAACCGCGAAGATCAAGTTATAAAGTACCTTTAAGATTGATGCGATTATGTTTGCTGGGACTGCTTTTGCCGTTCCTATTCATTGTTGGGCCGCTGTATCTGCGATACCGCGTGTACTCCGAGCAGCTATATGCCTTAGCAATATCGGACCAGAGACTGGTCGATAGCAAAGTATCTACCGTTTGGTGCCAAGTAAGGCATTTTGCTATTAATATCTTATTTCTTCCTTGCTCTTCTTTTTTAATATTTCTAAAATCTTTGTTAAAACTCTGTAAAATTTTTAAATCTCAAAATTATAATAAAGATGTAATATATATTATTCTGTGATTTTGCTCCAATTATTATATGTTTTATTATTACAAATTAAATATAATTCTTATCCTCCTATACAATATTGTTATAAAAATTACGTTCTCAACGTATGCGATTGCGATTAAATAAATATTTTTATTTCACAAATAGTTTTTTACAAATTATATATACTTTTCTTCTTTTTTCTTTCTAAGAAGTGTCCAGACAGTAAAACGCCTGTCATATTTACGAAATATGAAACTCGTAAACTCGTGACGAGCGTTTGCGTAAATAACATGTAGTGCTGCGTCCGCAAATGCTCAGTAGTAGTATCGTTATTGTGTCAAGCAATGGTTCATTCAATATTCGTTACCTTTTTCCAGCAAAATTTTACGCGCAGAGGTTTCATTGATATAATACAGTTTATATATTATTGATGGAAACAATTTATACATTGTAGCTGCAAACAGTTTGCAGCATCAATTTACACATCTTTGTTGTAAAGTATTATAAGTGTGAATCCTAGACGGCGGCTACAATTCATGTTTACGCAATGTTTGTGCCGACAATATATAAATTGTTTTCAGCCACACGTTTGCATGTGACTTTGCACACTCACGTTTTGCTATCTGGATTAAAACTGAACTGATAAATAATGAAATCAATGGTAAATTATTGTTAATGGTAAATTATTGCCTGTAGAGCCAAGTGATCAAAGTTAACGCCACGTTCAACGCGTACCTGATGAGTAACGAGCCAGTAGTTGAAAAAGAAACGGTGCCCGTTTCAATGACGAGGCACCTCGTCATGGAAGACGATATGAAGGAGTATTGGGGATTTTATCTTCTGCAAGGCAGTAGCGTCACTGTTTCAGCTTGTGTAAGGTAGAATTATAGAAATGGGGGCTCTTTTTATCACGCAAATCTCCAAAGGAAGAGAAAATTCGTTTTACCTATATACGCAATAAATATTGCTTATATACGTAATTCCCCCATTTCTTAACTGAAGTTTATTTTAATCCGCTCAAAATAATATTGTACTTTAATTCTACCATTACTAAGATACGAATGCTCCACTATTTTCAGATGGCCAGGTGCTTCTTTAACAATAATCCGTGGCTTCAAGAATCTGCACGAGTGCGCATTTATCGGAGATGACAGCAGCGAGGAACTCGAGGAGCTCGTTGAAGTCGCTAAGGAAGAAGGTCTTCTTGATATGAAGAGCACTACGGAGGTGTATTATCTTTTCTCTCGAAAATAGATTCTTTTTCTTCTATAAAGATAAAACACTTTTATTTATGCCATAATTTTTATTACAGACATCACGTCTTAGTAATGTACCGGACAAAATGAGACGAGCAGATCAGAACATACATTTTTATCACGAAGACAAAACTCTTCGTTTGAATATTTCTGAATCGTCTAAATATCAACCGGGCAGTCATGAGTTGGATGCTGAAACGATGCGGAATATACTTACCCAGCTTTTGGCCAAGACCGATTATACAAAGAAGAAGAAGAAGAACCCGCATCATCATTACGAAGCGGTCTTCAGAGATATCACTAATATCGATAAACCAGTGACAATTCATCCTGGAAACTTACAACAAGATCAGCTTCGCAAAAAGTCAACAAACAATCTTGAATCCAACAATAAAAATGTATCAGAAAATAGTACAAAGTGCGTTATTTTCCTTATTAATACTTCTGACTAATAACTTAATGACTATGTTCAATAAATATTACGGTACTTTTTTTTTTTTATTAAAAAAATTTGAAAATTAATATTAAACATGTGTTATTAATTAAATCTAACTTTGTAAATTGTAAACAAGTCTCATTTATATCTAATTGATTTTCTTTTCCTAACTTTTTTCTTTGCGATTGAAAATTGTGAACTCAATTGTTTCAGATCCACGCTATTGTCTTCGAAAATACCAATTTCTGTCCAAGAAAAGCAATACAACCACAAAGAATCTAAGCTCCAACAAACTGCCACGTCTTCTTCTAAGCTCCATCCGAGTTCTACAGTATCCAGCAAGCAAACGGAGTCTAGTACGGCACGAGAAATCGTGAAAGAGCAAGAAGAGTCGACAACTAAACAGGCAAACTTTGAGGAGGTGTTTCAAGATGTCCTACGAAAAATCAATTCCTTAGGTGACCGTGGTAAACAAATGTTGCACAAATTGATGGATACGATTGACGCGGAAGCCGGCGCCAAAGGCGCTGCGTTGAAGCAATTGGTAAACGACACGATGAACGACAAGAAATTGTCGAGCGAAGCTAAACAGAGAAGAAGGAGAGATTTAATCCTTTCATCGCCGCTTTATGAGGAACTAACACAGGAGGACGAAGATGGTGACGCAGCGTTAGAAGAGGTAAAAGTTTTTTTCCGCTGTATTTCTTATGTTTCATTAGCGTAAAGTGCCGTAAAGTATAAACTGATTTTTAAAATTATAAATACTCTGCAATACACTTTTAAGCTTCAGGTACTTCTATGCTTATCATTAAAAACATTGTTTATTGTTTATTGGGAAGTTTAACTAACTCTAAAATTGACTAAAGATTATCCATTATAAGAGTATCAAAATTAATGCGCGAGAATTAATACACAAAGTAACAATGGGAACTTTCTAGCAAGTGACACAAACGTCGTTCTATCTTTCTTTTCTGGCGATGAGTAACAAAACGACACTTGTGTCGACTTGTGTCGCTTGCTGGAAAGCTCCCACTGACTTTATTACTGATAATATACTGTTCTTTATTAAAAAGACATTGTAATTCACCGCGTATTGTCATAATGAGTAGAAAGATAAAGTTCCAGTTAAATTTGTGGAATTAGAAATTAGGATGCAAATAGTTCCTGCTCAAATCAGTGGACTTTTCCGTCGGGCGTTTGCAAGATTGTTTATCAGCAGATACCGTATAAACCATATAATAATGTTTGATCAATCTTACTGCCTTTATGGATATTGTGGAACATGTCGTTGTTTGCAAAGTGTGAATATGATTCACACTTATTTGTCATTTGAAATTTGTTTATAGCCTTAATTGAGTTTAGTAAAATGTATATTTTATTGTTTATCGAAGAAAATAATTTTGAATGCGGAAAACTATAAAGAATACACTTTTGAAAGGATTGCCATGTTCAATTCAACAATAAGAATACGAAAAGGGAATGTAAATTTATAATATCTCTTTCTCAGGATATGTTGCATCCAGATGGTATTGCAGAAGATCGAGGTACCGTAAATGAAACAACCTTGAACGATAGAAGTAACTCCGAGTTCTGGAGCTCATTTAGCAGTTCCGAAGAACGACTGTTGGAATGCAAAGGTCTTATCCTAAATTTGCCTTTGACACCGCATCGTTTTTGTACGCCCAAACATGAAAGTCATCATTCTACGGCTTCCTTCGCCAATACGGTAACATATAGGTAGGTAGAAAAATTATTGTTTGCGTTAATTTTCTCTTTATAAATAAGAATGTATTTATTCGATTGTTAATTCAGTTTTCTCGATCGCTCTTAATTATCGGTCTTAATTAAGGCTTTACGAATCATTTTCCAATAATCTGAATCAAATAAATACTTTTTTCCAAAATGTAGGCACAACTATTTTTTATGTTAACTGTATATATAATACATATATTTATGATATATTTTGTTATTATTTGATTGTAGAGTACCTCTAAATGGATATTATTTCTTTGTGTTTAATTCGGAAAACGAGGTTCAACCTAATTACGTGAGGGTGAAATTTGATCTTTTAAAGACCGTCTACAATACTTCGAATCCCGTACACTCATGTAAAAACAGCACGAAAGAGTGCTCGTTACCGTTTCAGTTGTTCAGCAACGAGAGAACAGTGTTAGAACTGCCATTAAGTGGAAATGATTCGCAATGGAATGAGGAATATATTGGGGTGTCTGTATGCGAACCACGAACGATGGTTTACACCATTTGTGTTATCATGGTGCCTTTGCTGATCCTTTGTTTCGCTTTTCAATAGCAGATTGCGTTACCAACAGTATTTATATACATAACACACATTTCTATTGACCATGATTGTTAACGTTATTGCACCAAAGCCTTTGAAAAAGGAAGGATGATAATGATAATAACAATTCGGTATTTTTTATTAATTGATCGAATTGATAAACGAAATACTAATATTGCCTTTACTTGTTGTGGTAAAGACAAAAGAAAGAAAAGTTTCACCAACGAATATATATGGAGGGGTAAAAACCACAGTGGGGTAAGTCAAATTTTTAAAAATATTTTCTCGTGTGCATAGATGCAATCTGTACAATATATAAATTGCATCTATGCACACGAAAAAATATTTTTAAAAATTTGACTTACACCACTGTGGTTTTTACCCCTCCATATGTTTAAAATACCAAAAAATATTATATATTTTAATGGTAAAAAAATGACTATTTTCTGTGAGAAATGTGGATAATAAAATTGTGCAGATACAATTAAATATCAATTTTCTAATTTCTTGAAAATTTTTTTTATTTTTTAAACTAAGATTTTCAATGTCAAAATATTGTTTTATTTACTGACATAAGCTTACAAAATTTTTTAATAATTAATGCTATATTTTCACTATTTTTATCCGTACATGGATATAAGTTGAAATCCTTTCTTAATCTAGATAAATAACATACAAATGTATTTTTAATTTATCAACCAATTTCCTACTTGTAAAACTTGGCTCGATCTAGTTACCTATGTAACATTTCACGGAAAAAATGGTTTTGCTGAATTATTTAAAAATTTAGCTAGAAACAGATGTAAAAATAATTATATTGAACGCTTACCAGAATGTCAAAATTTATACAGCATTATCATTATCGTTGAGCGTTCTACATAATTATTTTGATGATCTGATATAATTATTTTCAAACCTGTATCTAGCCTAATTTTTATATACTTTAGCAAAACCGTTCTTTCCGTATATAAATTCTTCGTGAACATGCTGTGATTGTGCTTTTTTGCAAACTCATATACAGATTTTCATTCAATATTACTATTATATAATATGTATTTATAGTAAAACTATAGTTTTTAAAGATGTGCGGGTTTCTGGAATCGGTTATTTGATAACAGAAATAATTAATGTTGTCATGACATGCCTGATTAATTTTACGTATTCGGAAATCTATAGAATTATCCGTGCTTATCGAATAATTGGGCTCATTTAGTAATTGACTTATTAAACATATGGATATGACTCGAATCGTATTTGCAAATACTCGCATATCTTAGAAATTTTATAGTATTTTGCGGAGTCATAAAATTATTGAATTCTGCTGTAAACACAGGCGATTGTACAAAGTCATTTTTAAACTGGCGAAAGAAGCTGTGATCGAAATCCAACGGTTCTGCGATTTAACTGACAAATCGCTGAATTATACGTATCAAAGGCTGATTGTGAGAGTTTTAGATCGCAGTTTTATCGCGAGATACTACGATTAGAAGAGACGAAGCTCCAATTGTGAAGAGTAGATTTAAAAATTAATACTTTTATTAGAGCTACTTGATCTATAATATAAGTACCGAGATTACACATTTGCTTCATAATCGCTGCTGGCTGTTACAAATACTCTAGATTACTTGCGATTCATATACGCGTACTTCGTGATACAAGGTCGTGATACGTTGAGTGAGATAATGCGTCGCATCTGATACGGTACAACTTCGACCATGAAGTTAATTGTTAAGGCTAATGGACGATACAATTAAATTGTAACACATTGTCGGACAATAGAATTAATTGTTGAATTATGTAAATAAAATGATCCATTAAATTGTATTTAAGTATCAAACTTATCTTATCAATCCTGATGTATCCAGAAGCTGATAAGTGACAACGGTTAGGTGGAAGGCAGTTATAAATATATTTATACGTACATTACAATGCTAAAATTACTCATTGATATTAAGTATTGATTTATGTAAACATATTTACATGATAAATTTTAAAGTATCTTATTCTTTTCGAGGATGAAATGTTGTGCCATGAATATTCGTTTTGTGCATCTTACCTCGCATCAATTTTATCTCTCGAAGTAATTTTCTCCCGTTTTGACTTTATCCTGATTCATGCGGTGTGCAGATGTAACTCGCGATGACGTAACGTGGTCGCGTAACTCATCTCAACGCAGGGAATTAATATTCGTTCCAAATGTCTTACGTATACGCGCGTTTCGATGATCGATATGTCAGCGGGCGCGAGTGCCACACGTGGAAAACAAACACTAATAATGGGATTAGCGTGGGGCGGCTGGTTGACGGCGATAACGAAAATTGATTTCACCCTTCGCGTCCCCCCTCGGCCACCCCACGAGCACGGGGATGCTCCATTCGAGCGCGTTGACGTTCATGGGACGCTGCGCAAAACCGGCGACACGCCTCTCTCCCACCGACACACCCCGGTGAGACCCCAATACCCACACGTGCCCGCGATAGAACACCGGTTTAACCCATTCAAGAAGTGATTTAACTCCGTTAGCGGAAATCAATTGCACTCTCGCATACCGCCAAACAAAGAGAGTTACAGAGGGATGCCGGATAGTTGTAAAATTGCGGCACGAATCTATAAAAATGATTGTTCAGGCGAGAATCTTATATTTCAAAAATAAAGAAGAAAAAAAAAAGATTTTAAGCGGATATCTAACGAATTTACGAAAAAAAAGTTTTTTGAACATTTCAACGACGCAGACGGTTCAGATTTCTGCGTTGCCTGAAATGCGATTTTGTATAATTTATATAATTACGAAAATTATGAAAACAATTTGTGAATTATTTCAACAAAAATATGCGCATTGATGCGTCAGAGGCGAGTGGTAATTTAGAGTTTAATTCTTGTAATTAATAACAGCGATTAAAGCAATGAGACGTTAGAAAGGTAGAACTTAAAAGAAAATAATTAAACTGTTCCTGTGCAAAATTATTTTATGACTAATTTGGTTCAATTTAAACATATACAGTTCTAAATTTCATTACGTTTCGTTATTGTTGTGGTACTTGCATCGATCGTTGAAAAAGAGTAAATATTTTTTATTCAACGGCAATCCAATATTTAGCTATTGCAACAAGGAGACAATATTCTAAGATGGCTATCTAACGGTGACACTTATATACAAGTGAAAGTGCCGCTGAAATTTCGAGCAGAACGCTATTGAAACGAGGAGATGGAGGCTGCGCGAGTGTTCGCCGCTGATAAGAGATGCCCCGCCCTGCAGCCCTCTCGCGGCAGTCACCCTCCCGGGTCCTCGCGATCGTAGAATTGCAGGGTCAAGTTGTTGGAGGGCTCTCGGCAACGGCATGAGATATTAATCTCGGGGGATTAAACGGACAAATCGACGGAAGATTAATTTTTAAGGTGCCGTAAAGTGGAAAGGATTACCTCGACGCTTAATTAACAGTTACGCTACGTCGTTCTGTAATTAATCTTCGCATTTTTTACGGGTCCTGCCGTGTTTCGACTACGCGCGAACGAATCTGGAAATATAAAATACGCTGGAGAATTGAGGGGTTGTCGGAATATTTATAAATCGTTGCAATACCGATGTATTGTGAACGAACGTATTTGTAATCCACGATTCCGCGATATCGCTAAATTTATAACACGTTTATTACGGATATAAATCTTCCGACTGGATCCTGATGTCGACATTAATGATTCCCCGGATTTTTATCTGAAAATCGGCACCGCGCCGAAGACCGCGATAAGAGTCACGTGAGTCAATCTCATGCGGCGATATTAATACCTTATTCTTATTCATTGGCACGCGCAAATTGGCCGCGAGTTGCCAGGCCTGTGGGAAACCGCTACAAAGTATCCCCTATTAAATTCTATGGGGCACCCGGGACGCCCTTTGTCGATTTTTGTAACGAGAGTTTCTTTTTGGGACTGGCCATTTTTCACATTTTTCTCTATGTATGTAATAGTCGCGTGTAAAAAGAAAAATATATTGCATTTTAGGGATACGCGATTATTGTATAGAAAAAAATAATATCGCACTTAAATTGATTCTAGCTAAATACAATAAACAACGTGTTAAAGAAACATATCAGAAAATATAGCGTCAGTTAATCAGTCGAGCAATTTTACAAAAAAATTTTCTTACAAAATAAGAAAATAATATCGCATTTGTAAAATAATTCCAGCTATAGCTATATAACTGGTGGTAAATAAAAAGATATAATTGGTAGTAAATAAAAATTAACAAAATTTTTTTGGAAAAAGTAGCGATACTTAATTACTATACGGTGTAAAATTAATAAAAAAATAATAAAAGTTGCATAGTTACATTATGATGAGACGTAAGATGAAATGGATGGCGCATTCATGAAGATTTTTCCCAAACAATCAACTTTCGATTAGCTGGGTCCCCACGATTCGATGGGCATAAAAAAACGAAAGCCCTGCTTAGTATACATTAAGGGTGAGAGAGCGGCGCTGCCCCCCCGCCCCCCCGTCGTCAAGTGGCCACCAGCTACGGGTTGTTTTATTGTGACACCTCGGGAGGGTGCTACAGATTTTCCAGTAGGATGCGTCGGGGTGTCATCGTCGGAGCCTGATTATATGATATCGCTCTTGATGCTCATTCGAGCGTCATTACGAGCCAATCTGCGTGGGACCTGGTCTGATTTTGGGTAAGAGCGGTGTGCGAGGATTATCTGCAGAAAATCAATTGCACATAACTACTATTTATCAATTTCAAGTTATAAAAATGCATCTTTTTTTCCCCGACTGATATATTTTAAACACATTTATGAATAAATGTGTTTTAACACAAGAGACGTGTTATTCGTTCTTCGAACATTTCGAACGTGTTTTTCTAAAAAAAAAAAAAAAGATTATTCATTCATTTTATCACGAGTAATGAAAAGTTGTTGTGTTCGCAACGATAATAGCTGGGATAACAGTAGCGATAAGATAGTCCGCGAAACTTGACACGTATTATTCTTGTAGGAAGCATCTTTAAAACACATGGCAATGAGTCGAAGCAGGAAGAGGGTGGAGATAGATTTGTTCGCAATATATACATATGCAAATATAAACATTTGTGCCTAAGATAACAAACAAAACAATGCAGCCGTCTCTACTCCATGCCTGCATTGCATCGAAACATATAAATGTAAAGAATTAGATCGCAATGTGCGACAATTGCGCGTCAATATCGTTAATGTTAACACCTATTCCATTATTACTTTAAGGATATAATGTACATTTGCTATTTTTACAAATATACAGAATTTGCTATAATTCTCAGCTTTTGAAAATATCACTAAAAATCCAAGTGTGCAGTAATGTATTGAATAGAAAATGTTTGCATTTATTTTATTTTATTGCGGTATAAATTATTTAACAATTATAGAAAAACATTGGCGTTCTTAGAACATATTTAAATATATATTAGTTGATTCTAAAAATGTCAGATCCTTTCAAATATATTGCAACCTTAATCTCGGAATAAACGGCTTACAAAGGGCACGTGCGTTACCCTCGGTTACCTATACGCGTGTCCCGTCGTATAGCGGATAACTTTTTTTATATCGCCAACTGATCCATAATGTATAAATATAAAAGTTGCCTGCAATGTAATACAAATATTAAGAAATTAATTTTTGAATCGCTATTATCGTTATCAATAAAACAATTATAATTTTAATTATAAAGTAATTTTAACATTATATATAAAAGTTAATTTTAAAGTATCTCAACTAGGTATCCCTTTTTAATCGATGAAGTCGATGTAAGTTTATACAAAGGGCCTCTGAATTTCTTAATTTCTTAAGTTGATCTCATATATCTAGCAAAGCTTGGAAAGTAAAAGTGACGTTAGCATACGTCGCGTCTGTGTCGCAAGATCTTTCGAACGACGATATTATGCAGACTGCAGAGAATCGATGCACGGTGAGACAGAAGTATAGTCGCGTTTTTCGTTGAATGTATGAAGACGTGATCCGCGAGAAGCGTCGATACAGGGATGCTGGATGGGACGGACCTGACACCAGCTCCACCCATAAGCCTGCGCTCCGCCCTCGTGAAATTCATTTACCCAGAGGGTTACCCCGGACCCGGACTCGCGACTAGTTAGATCGACTCTTTCGACATCGGTGTTACTCTCCATCACGATGTGAACTGGATCGTTCCCAAAGTCATTTGTTCCCTAAGTCGATCTGTCTTTTAATCTTGCGGCTCTCTGTCGAACGCAGAACTTTTTTTTCTCGTGCAACATGGTGAGTTTTGACCACTTCACGCGCGTGTGTGTGATTATATGTTGAAATTCTGTGTTATTCTTCAACCCTTTCGATATGTGAATCTCGCGACGTGCTTGTATGCGCAAATTCTATACGTTCGCGAAAATATAAATCTGAAGCGATGATTTATCGTAGACGGTTCAGACCTCCTTCATTCACGATTCGTATAATGTGAAGAATTTTAGTTGAACTTACAATCGTTTTAATCTTTGAAAGAGAAATCTGAAATTGTAAAAATGTAGCAAATATATGTGTTATTGCAAATATATGTGGTATTCCATCATGATGGAATGGACAATATTGTGTGTCTTGTGGCATTAATAAATAATATGTGATCTATTGTGGCATTTTTAAAATAAATTTTAAAAGTTATTATTATGCGGTCTATTAGTATCTTGACGGTAATAAAGAATGGTTAAAATGCAATTGACGCAATGATGAATAACATTTTTAGACTTAAAAATCTGTTGACTGATAAGGAATCAATTATCCACATATCAAGGATCAATTTTTTAATACCGAACGAGTATGAAATTTAACTGAAAAGTATGACATATTATAACTGAGAGAAGACGTAAATATGTAGACGGAAACGCTTCCTTTTTCGTATAAATAAAACTGATATGTACAAAGCGAGTACATACATGACTAATGTTTATATACAGATAAATCCAGTGGCATATATACATATATCTGTCGAATGTCAGGGACAGCTAAGGAGAGCCTAGTATCAACTTCCCGTCGGCACTATATTAATGACTAATTATATACTAGATTGCTGACATTCCTAACTGACTCATTTTATTGTCATTGAATTGTTATTTGATTCCGCTTGTAATTTCGATATAACAATTAATCACGGTATAGCGAATCAGTAATAAATTAATAAGATAGATTTAGATAATTTCAATGAGTTTCAAAGTTGTATAGACACAAAACAACGGTTTCTATATTTATTCGTGAGAATTGGAACGCGATGATTGACGTTGACAAATGGTAGCAAAATTTTTTGCGCCTATGCTCGTCGTACTTGTTCACGATTCTTATCAATCGTTGCAGCCGATGTTAACGTATAGTGGGTGCGGTGTAGGAGCTGCGGAGGCCGAAAATGGTTCCCCAGCGGGATCGTTACTGTCCGGCGAAGGAGAGCTCGCGGAGGAAGCCGGCGATTCGCCTGGAACATCGAGGGACACCGAGGAAGAAGCCACGCTTTCTGACGAGTTTTATTCCCACGACACAGACGAGGAGGAAGAACAAAGCAAAAGACGGCGAGACCGTTCCAGCTCCGTGAGTGAAATTTAAAATCGCTCTCCCGTGTTCAGTTACATCTTTAAAGATTTCAATTTTCGTTAAATATAACAAATTATTTTATATGGTCTAGCTAGTCTTATCTGGAATCCAAATAATGATTTAAAAATTAGCATCAATTTAATGAGATTCACGATAATCTCGTAGCTAGATGGCATCTCATCTTCTGGCAGTGGTCATTTGGGATCGCCCACGCCTCGTATAGGTACCTTGGGAGTTAGAAAATTATTCACCAACAGCCGGGAACGATGGAGGCAGCAGAACGTGAGCGGCGCCTTCGCCGAACTTCGCAAATTAGTACCGACTCATCCACCTGACAAGAAGTTGTCGAAAAATGAGATTTTAAGAATGGCAATAAGGTAATTATCTCTAAGTTACAAAAACACGTGTTCTAATCCTAAGCAAGTACTCTTATATTTTCACTTCTTTCTAGAGAATTTACTCTCAAATAATAAGAAAACGCAAGGCATTTTCTTTATCGTACAAACAATTAACAAAAATAATATATCAAAAAAAGATTTGTTTATGAACGTATTTCTATCAATAATAAAATAAAAAGTATAAAATAAATATGCCTCTATTTATAATTTAATAGAGATATGTAAATATATCATGCAATATTTAATAGAAATTTTTAAGTGGTAGTAACATTAAAATAATTGATCGTCTAATATTTAAAATTGAAGTAGTAACAAATCTGCGTAGGTACATAAGGTTGCTAAGCAATGTTCTGGAATGGCAAAAGAGTCAAGACCGTAATGGGGTGCAGCAGCACGACGTGCGCATCAAATGCGAGTCGCATTTGAACAATCAAAACTCGACTACGTATCACGTGAAGCCAGCAGTAGCGTTCCTGAAGCAGGAGAAGCTGAGTAACGAAAATTCTCACGTTTTTCGCGTCAATTATGCCACGCAGAGGCATAGTTCGCACACGTGTGACAAGAACAGCAGCAATTTGCTGATGATCGCTCCTAGCGGGCTCAATGCAGCCATTTCCGCTGGAAAACGCTGTGTCACACCTTCCATCGTCGTTACTCAAGGCAACTTCCACAGGTGGATTACGTCAAATTAACCCGTAATTCTGTAAAAGAATAGGCAAATTAGAAAAAAATTGATACGCACCCGATTCGTAAAGTTTGTGAATTTCTAAGCTCTTTAGTTCGTCGATCGATTGTTAAATTACTTTTTCTCTTCTTTAATAGAGTAAAATATAGCATATTATTTATTACTTACTTTCATTTATTTATTATTAATTTTTATATTTATTTCAAATATATTATCTAAACTGAGATATAGTTTTTTCTCTTAGGCCGGTATAAATAGCCAATCAAAGTCTAATTTTAATCCTTATTCAGATTTTTTCAGATAAAAGTTAACATTTAATTAAATAAAACTGTAAGTTTCTTAGAAGTGTCCTGCAAAAGATTCTTCATTTATTCATTTAATAATGACTTACAAAACAGGTTTTATGATTTTTAAGATTTGCAAATTCGAGAGTATATATTTTTATCAGAATCAATGTCCTCCTTTAAAATTTTTTTGTAATAGAAAAATATACATATGTATATAATTTATACTGGTCTAAATACAATCTATATATAGATATTTTTAAAAATGAGTAATTTTGTGTTTTATTAAGCATTGCTTTATTGTTTTTTTAACAAAATTATTAATATATTAATACTTTTAATTCTATGTTTCTCACAGCAACAGCAACGGAAATGTTATACGTTCTCCATCGAGCGGACGGTCCTCAAGTTTCCCGAAATCACCGCAAGTCTCATCGAACGCTAACATAGTACCTAATGGTTCCTCTTCATCCTTGACGGTTAACGCTCCAGTTGCAAACGGAATAGGATCGAGCGGCTCGAATTGTGCCCAAAAAAGATTTAAGATCGAACGAGAAGAAGAAGACCAAACATCGAGAGACTGTAGAGCTCCGCCACCGCCTGTTCATAACGTCCCGGTCAGAAAAAGGGTCAAAGTCGCCTTTATAAAGGATTCAAGCTCAGGATTTCGTGGCGATTTGTGTGGTGCAGATCGCAAATGAAATATTAACGAGAGATGCCTGCTCGTGAAAGAATCGACTGTCGCGATCATTTTGCTTTAAGTGCATACATGTATAAATATTTCTTTCATGCTGTATTTGACAATAATTGATACGATACGAGATATTAACTAAATAATATTTTAGATCTTTCACATGAGCTTATATCCCGAGTTAATATATCAAAGCTTTAAATTACTTTCAATTACTCAAATGCCAAAGATACTTTTCTATTCGCGCTAAATTATTATATTATTGTATATAATTATTTAATTTTGTAATTCATTCGAATATTGATTTAATAAAAAATCTTTCTTGTTGTAAAAAAAAATAATTTTTTCCTAAAAATAATATTTTATTGAATGGTTGCTCCATTCTATTAAATTCGAATTTAAATTGATTTTTCTAAATTAAACTTGGATATTTTGTTGGATATTTTGAAAATCGTTACATCAATCAAATAATCGAAAAAAAAACCCGTATATACTTTAGTATAGTATATTTTAACAACAATTGCCTTTCAATTAGAAAAGCGCCATGATTAGAAAGATAAGTCAATTCTAAAACCTATCCACAGAAAAATCTGGGCACATTCTTCAAAGAATATTTTATTATTTTTTGTATTACATTATTTGTACATTATTAACATCGCGGTTACCTTTTGAACACCGACATGAAAAACACGAATAGGAAGCTTCCGGTTATGTGGCTCATTGTAAACCTGCTACAAATATATTTACGTATCTGGCTCCCCGCGTCCGTTTGGGGAGCCATTTATTAGAGTTCTGTAGCAGAGTATATTCGAATTTCGTACATCCATCCGTTTACACATCGCATTATTCTACGATGAACACAATAAACACCTGAATGCTAACAGTTATCCACAGACAACAACTCCATCATATTTATCACGGATTGTTTAAATTTATTTTAAGAAATAGGTATATACATACCTATTCATTTTTACAAATATTTAAAATTTCGATTTTTCATTCGATAACAGTGACGGGCATTGTCCAACAGAGAATTAACACTGTACAACGAATTTAATTTTGCGACACACCATTATTAACACCTATTTTTGACGAAAATCGTATCGAGCTTCTCTTCATATTATTTCCTCATCCACGTCGAACTTGTACTTTCACTTCGTCGAAATGTTTAAATGTTAATCTAAAACCCTGCGAAAGCGGCATTCGCTTCGCGAAATGCCTGCTCTCGCAGGCATTTCCTATGTTAAATACACTTTATATCTAGTGCTGTCCCTTTCCGACAGCTTCTTGGGGACGTATCGCTCGTCGTTGAACTCGATCGGCGGCGTTGGAGTAGCCGGTCGCTCGTCGCTCTGGCTGAAAGCTCTTCTCGGTGGGACCTCGAGGACCTGGCGGGTGCTTTTGCACTCGACGCTGCCCCTCTTGGCCAGATTCACGCTGGCGTAACTCGCATCGCTGGTACGCGAGTCCCTCTTCGTGAAGTCTATCTCTACGTAGCTGACTTGGGAACCGCGGGGTCTCATACTCGCGTCCGAATTCCGTTTGTTCTCCTTGTCCACCAGTCTCCTAATAGCCGGTGCCTCCGGTCGGTCCCTTTTGAACGTCATCATTTCTGGCCGATATGAACGAGACTCCCGCCGGACCTTTTCGTCGTACTCGTCCGAATAAGTGCGTCGTTCGCGGGCGCGAGCCCGCCTCGCGCCGAGGTCCTCGCTGTATCGCAGTCGGTCGTTGAACTTTCGTAGACGCTCGTCTTCGTCATCTGCGAACACCTCGCTGGCGTTGTGAGTACTGTGCTTCGGCCTTCGTCTGTCCTCTTCCTCTTGAACCTTGGACTATGAAAGATAAAGACAAAGGTGAGATAAGTTAACTCTTTCAAACATCGGATCTCAATACTGATCCTAAAAGACCTCATTCAACACTGATACCTTGAAAATATCGATTCTGTCATTAAATTCCAAATCTTGACTGTTCCTGCGAATCGGCCGATAATTGTTCCTCTCATCCTCGCTGCTGCTCTTGCTGATCCAAGTGTCCTCCCGGGAGGTCCCCGCCTTCTTCGGCCACTCGTTCTCCGTCTTGAAATCGTACAAATCTCGCATACGTTCGCTGAGCTTGTTCGCTCGCTCGTTAGTATCGATATAGCTCAAGGAGTGGTCCTTCATTCGTTCATTAGTGACGACAAAGCTCGAGGAACGGTCTCTGCCAATATCAAACTCATCTGCAATTAAACATCTCATTCAGTTATTAAAGTAGCTCGCATAATCGAGTGCATGTAGAAAATAAGAATTATCGCTTTACGTACCCTGCCTTTGTAAGTGTCCTTTCTCACTCTTCGCTGGGGAGAATTTTCTGGGCGGTTGCCATCTGGAGGGATCCGAGTCCTTGCGCGACCCTTCGTCTTTTCTGTCGTATTCCGTCGTGGAATCTCTCCTCTCGGGATTTATCCTTACTACAGGACCGGGTGATGGACTTTTGGCGAACGTCATCCACCGGGTAGCCGCGCTCTTCGTGATTTCACAGCCAATTCTTGCAAGGGGGGACGCCTCTCGGCGAAACTTCGCACCGTTAATTTGTGGTAGCCATCTGAGAAAATCATATGTTCAAGATCGAGCTTTTATCTCATCCTATATGTCTATTTATTAATTTAATTATATATTAACGCACATTCACGCAAAGACACAACACAAAGCAAAAATCTCGATTCTTTGAAAGGCACTGTTCATGATTAACTGCAATAAATTACTTCAATGTATATGTAACTTCAATGAGAATTGATAAGCTTCGTTTTTTAATGATAAAAAATATATTCGTTTTTCGTTATATAGCAAACTAATCTTTATTGAAGTTATTTATTGAAGCAATCAACTAATTTAATAATTTTTTATTTATACATATAATTCATTAGATTGAGCTTGTTTCTGATAGCTTTATATAAAAAATGCTCATTAATTATTTATTAATTATTGAGATCATATTTAGATCAATCTAAAAATAAACTAGAAAGAATCGCAAAATCAATATATCAATTGTCCATGCATTTCTAAAAGAACCTTTATCATAAATTTGTCTTTTTTTTTTCAAATAACGTATTGAAAAAAATTACCTCACAAAGGAGAAGGGTGTACACGTAAACATTAAGGCAAACTTCGAAAATTCTCGTTATTATATATCGAGTAGCTATTTTTATAAAACTCTCTCAGTCCAACACGTGGACGACAAAGCGTACATACGATGAGCGTCACAACGTGAAAAGACATTAGCGACTAGTTCCGGTCGATGGAGCAAACCAGGCACCACTATGTTTTCACGTTGCTCGCCACGGTTCTTGACCAACGTGAATTTTCATTCGAAAAATCGCCAACAACTCGGGCCACACAAAAGGAAAAACACGAACGAAGGAAGCAGAGAGATCTGACCGAAACTAGACGCCCATTACCCGTTGGAGGCTCCGTAACGACTATCGTGTTCAATCGCGCCTACGAATCTCAACTACAATCTCGATCAAGGCATTTCTCGCTTTCGGACGTGGATAATGTGCGCGGTCAACCTCGTGGCGATAGTTCGCGGGTCGCTGCAGTCCGTGTGCCTTCGCTGCTCGGTGATGCTCTTCTCCGGTCTCTTAAGGGTGGTCACATCGGTGCTATGACTCCTGACGGCGTGGTGGGGTCGACCGACGGCCTCGGGCTCGATTCTGGAGGACCGATTCTCAGCCGACGGGGGTGAGAGCGATTTCGCCGGCCACTTCTCGGCACTCGCCGCCGATTCGTTGACACTCTCCTGCCGCTCATCCCTCGAGGGTCTCTTGGCCGCCCCCGGCTGCTGTCCCCGAGGTATGTTCTTTGGTAGCGGCATCCACCTCGAGGTATCCAATTTGGTGGGGTCGCTGATCTCCGTGTATCGGCGTTCCTCCACACGACGCTCCGTGTACTTCTTCAGGCAGTCCACGTCCGCACTGCGGCTACGCTGACTGCGCGGTGATCGAGATGGTCTTCGTAATTGCCCGTTGTTGTCCACCGGGCCAGCCCTTTCCTAAAGTTTGAGTGAACGCGTTCATCGAGAAATACTGATCGCACTTGGAATGGTGCGTGCTTTTAAACACTAGTGTTTTAAAACTAATATATTTTGCAATGGTTTGGTGTGACAGGCAACTTACTATATATCTCTCAGCAAAGAATTAAAAAAAAATTTTTTTTTTTCAACAATTTCATAAAATGTATTCTTTAATCTAAAGCGATTTGTGTCTGGTAGTTTGTATATTTTATTAATTTATATATTATAATTCTCAGTATATTTTAATAATTGTTATATATCTAATATTTAAACTTTTTTATAATATAACATTCCGCGACAATTTTTTATTATATTAAATTTCGAAAATCAAGTTTTCCATAATCGTTAATAAATTGAAAGTTATATATAAGTATATGAAAAACAATATGAGATTGTTAAAATCCTCATTGTAGTTAAAAAATTCAATTAATTAATTTAATTAATTGATTTAATTAAATTTTCTTACATAGAGGAGGATAAGGAGTGGAGGAAAGAAGGGATGAATCATTTAATAAACATCTAACAATAACTTTTCGTTGAATAGTTCAATTTTTTCGGCAATCAAATGCCTCTTGGTAAGTACATGCAATGTATTATCAATAATTCTATTATACTTCTGGTAATGAATACAAAGATAAGAAAAAAGAGATCTCTCGATTAAATAATGTGCGTTGCCGCATTGACAATACAAAGGCAACATCGTTCATATGTTCCACACGTGGTTATGATCACAAAATCGAACTTCATTCAGCAAGGAAGACCAGCGTGTCGATAGAGGGGGGGCGCTTATCGGGGGTTACCTAAGTAAGGTGGAGCTTCGCATAATCCGATATGTGCAGAATTCCGTGCTCCGCGGACGCGACGTGCAAGCTGGAGCCGCACGCGCGTGGATTGATTTTGGAATTATGCAGCTCGGCTATTTGAGTGCTGCACGCTGCCGCTGGATCGCCACTAGATTCTAAACTTCCTACCCAGAATTCATTCCCTGCAGAAAGGATATTACTGCCTTGAAGGTGTTACTAAAGATATATATCAAAGTTTCCCTTTATGAGTAACGCTGGATTATTGAATAAGGTATTGAAATTCATGTCGGCGTTAATATTAAATAAATAAACACTTGGATAAATAAATAATAAAATAACGTTCAAACCTGGTAATGTATTTCCATCCCAAGCGTAAGTTACAACGAGAAGTTTACTCGCGTCGTTGGCTCGGTACAGTCTGCTGTGCGGTTCTCTCAGAGCAAAATGTATCTTTATATCTAAAAATAATATCATTGTTGTACAAGTTGTGAGGATATTTGTATTTTAATTTATTGTCCACTAACCACCCAGATAATCGCCGTTTCCCGCGCCGCCGCATTTCTGTTGCCGGAAATAAGCGAACATGATGTCCGAAACGTATTTGAGTTTCTTGTTCATCTTCCTAATAGCAATTTCGAATGTTTTCAGGAAATAGACTTCCTGATTCTCAATTATTTTCCAGACACCTGGTTAAGTGTCAATAAATTAGCCGTTAATCTTTAATTGATGAATGAATAATTAAAAAAAAGAGTATAAGAAGTAATTTCAATAATATTTAAGTTTAATCATCTTAGCAACGAAAGTTTCGCACTAACCGAGGCCGAAGCCAACCACGTGCAAGAAAGCGGTTGTGTTTTGTTTTTCGGCGCGGCTGTTCGCCTCGAGCAGTATTATTTCTACCGAGAGCAAAGTTCTCTTCATGTAATTCTCGATATCGAAGATCATCTGATTGCCTAAAGACACATATCGCCTGTTCTCTTTTGATTTCATGCGTTTCGTGGTTTCATCGTAGAGTGGATGATAATTCTCGCCATAAAATTTGGCCCATAAAACACGCATCCCACGTTTTTCGTCGAATGTGCTATCCATCGCGGATCCGTACCTATTTTGCATATATTGATTCTTTCAAAAATGTTTCATTTGTATACTGCAAAAGTGCAAAAAGAGAGCGTATATTATAACGTAGCTTAATTCCGTTATTATATTCCATCATTATTCCATCACGCTATAAATTAAAAAAGCATTTACATATTATTAATATCTCTATTATTATTAATACAAAGAATTTTTTAAAATTAAATATATTAGGTACTAAGGCATTCAATCAAATTTCTTCTCAAATATGTGTCGCTCGACAAATTTACATTATACATACATAATTTGTTAATATTTATTGCGGAGATTTACTGCTTACCCGTTATCCATGTTGTTCTGTTGCGGCGAGACGACGATGTCCTGATACTCCATAAATCGGGGCCTCTCGAATCTATGATAACAGATCAAGCGGCACCCGTAGTACAAATTTAATGATAGAACATAACAGCAAAATTTCGACCAATTCTAGAATCTATAAAAGAGAGTGGTACTAAAAATAAAAACGTGTATTTTAGTGTATTTATAGTAATTTTTACGTTTTTTTTAAATCGCAAATATTTTTGCGGCTATAGATAGTCGCACGGAAAAGAGATAAAAATAGAACACGCATTTGCAGACGCGACGTCACGGAGTTTGCACGTATAAAAATATTCCTGAAGAAGGCAAGGGTTAAATAAATGCATAGAACCTTGTGCCTATGACACCCATAATAACCCCTCTGGGTTGGACGGCGTCTGGGTCACTGCTCACGATACCTCTATTATTTCGCGAGCCGTCGTTTATGAACTCCGTATGAGATGACACCACCATCATTGCCGACAATTTGATCTCGTCGTAGCTCAAGCATTTTGCTAGGACCTATTCATCAGATTTTAAAAATAAATTCATTAGATTTAAAAAATTTCACAATATTTATTAAAGCACTGCGACAGCGAAGGTGATATATGGGAGAAGGTAATATTATGAAACTTTATCTTGTTTTTAACATCCTATAAACTTCCAATATCGGTAAATATATGTAACGTTACGTTAATACGTAGGCAATAGCCTATAATAAGTAAAAAATAAGAATAAAGGTATAAGATATAAGAATTTTTAATAAAAATATTATTTATGAGAAAATTGCAAAAACAACTTTCAAGTGTGTTTTTTTTCTAATTATATGTAGCTGTAATAGTAAAGAGAGAAGAATTATATGTTTACTTTTGTTAATTCAGCATCTTTATTTAGTCACTGTTTCAATATTATTTGTACCAAAACGTACAAAAAATTTAAAATTTGAAAATAAACTATCATTTAAATTATTATATATATTTTTATACACTGAATGTTTTATTACCTTATTTATTTTTATTTAATATTAAAATTGTTATTAAATTATTATTTAATTGTTAGTTATTTTTTTTATAAAATTAATTTATTTTTATCGCTGAATTAAGACGGCATCACGTACTTACCAATGGTTCCTTCTCATGATCGGTACCGACACTCTCCCATCCATCAAAGCCGCTCTTGTTATCGAGTAATTTCCATCGATCGTTGGGACCGCAAAAGGAGGCTGCCCTCTTATCCAGCAGGCGATGGATAAATTGGACGAGGCCCATGTCCGCATACATGACTTTTTCAACAGGGCTACCGTACAATCGCTTATGTTTCAGCCATCGGGCAATCAAAGGCAACATCGCTTCGTGTATCAGCGGATATACCGAATTTGCGTTTAACTGAAAGTTGTCATCGCAGAATAGATCATGAAATGTGTAAATTAGTTGAAATTATTAAACTTTATAAAAAATATGAAGAAATATCTCAGACTTGAGTACAGAATTGTGATTTTTAAGATATACAGAATGAGCACTAGAAAATGGATAAATTTTTGCAATCAAATTTTCAAACTATTTCTCTTAAATATTTTTTAAACATTCAAGAAAATTATTAAAATAAAAATATTATTAATATATTATTTAATTAAGCGTCTGTTTTTTTTGTTTATATGTACTAAATGCTTGATTAAATAATTTGCTAGGGTTTACGCAAACCTCGATGGTATCTGAACTGATTCCCCTGTCCTTCAATGCGGCGCATCTTACGGTGTTAATTGGGAATTTCACGGGAAACGTATTGCTTCGTCTGATTAGTTCCGCCACGCTGGTCGGTGGCGGCACGGAGACGTTGAGACACTTCTTCAGCAACTCCTTTGTGTCGTCGTCGAAGGGCACGCCGTGGGGCGAGCCGAGCGTGTTCTCCCATGAGATCTCCGGCGGGTCTCTCGCTAGCATTTGCTGACGCGCTTCGTCCGCAGCTCGATTATTCTGCGGAAGGACGTGAAGTTATGTGCTAAGTGATTCCCGAAATGCGGAAACGCCATTGATGCTAAAACTTTCAACCGAATTTATGAATTCAATGGGAAAAAAAAAATACTAGTTTGGAGTTGAACAGAAGAACCAATTCCCAGTAAAAAAAAAGTTACATAGTAGACATACGTTATGCTTCTCGTTTCGTGTTGCATTAGGTATTACTTGCGGAAATAACGATATACCTAACGCAAAAATAAATAAGAAAGTAGTTACATATATATATATATACATATTCAAGAACTTTTGCTAAAAAAGTACAAGCGAGTAATTTGTCTATTGACAATTGACATTGCGACGATAACTTCAACAACTTCGCGGCTCGCGCACGTACGGACTTACCGTCACCGATGAAGCAAAGGGCTACGAAATCGATCCTAAGAAAAATTTTGCAAAACAGTGAATCGCCGTTCTATTAATATAACCCCCCCGCTGATTACAGCAAGGACGTCGATCGCTTTGACACTTGAGCATGAAATCCGTTAAATAGCGTAAAATGTATCTGTTCATCCTAGCGAGCGGCTTGACGTTCATTCTCTTCGTGGGCGCGAGCGCATGTATA